GGCCAATATCCTTGATGAACATAGATGCTAAAATCCTCAATAAAATATTAGCAAACTGAATAGAGCAATGCATCAAAAAGATCATACACCATGATTAAGTGGGATTTATTTTGGGAATGCAACTTTGGCACAACATTCTCCAATCAATAAATGTGATTCACCATAAACAAAATAAAAGATAAAAACCACATGATCCTATCAATAGATACAGAAAAAGCTTTTGATAATATTCAGCATCTATTTATTATTAAAACTCTCAACAAAGTGGGAATAGAGGGAACATACCTACACAAAATAAAGGCTATATATGAGAAACCCACTGCCAGCATCATACCCAACAGGCAAAAACTACAAGTGTTCCCCTTAAGATTTGGAACAAGACAGGGATGTCTGCTTTCACTTCTCTTATTCAACATAGTACTGGAAGTCCTAGCCACAGCAATCAGACAAGAAGAAGAAAAAAAAGGCATCCATATTGGAAAGGAAGAAGTAAAACTGTCTTTATTTGCAGATGACATGATACTGTACTTAGAGAACCCCAAAGATCCCACCAAGAAACTAGTAGAACTGATAAATGAATTCAGCAAAGCATCAGGATACAAAATTAATATCCAGAAATCAGGTGCATTTTTATATGCCAATAACAAAACAATGCAAAGGAAAATTAAGAAAACAGTCCCATTCACAATCATTTAAAATAGAATAGAATACCTAGCAATAAACCTAACTAAGGATGTAAAAGACCTGTACATTGAAAATTATAAGACTGAAGAAAGAAATTGTAGAAGATACAAATGAGTGGAAGCACATACCGTGTTCATGGATAGGAAGAATTAACATCATTAAAATATCCATACTACCCAAAGCAATCTGTAGATTCAATGTAATTTCTATCAAGATTCCAATGACATATTTGACCTAAGTAGAACAAAATTTCAAAAATTTATATGGAACCACAAAATGTCCCACATAGCAACGGTGATCCCAAGAAAGAACGAAGTTGGAGGAATCACGCTATCTAACATCAATCTATACTGTAAGGCCATAGTAATCAAAGTAGCATGTACTGGCATAAAAACAAATACATAGATCAATGGAACAGAAATAAACCCACACTTTTATAGTCAATTAATATTTGACAGAGGAAGCAAGCACATACAATGGGCTAAAGATATTTAATTCAATAAATGGTGTTGGGGAAATTGGACAGATATGTGCAGAAAATTGAAACTAGGACTTCTAGTCAAGATGGAAGTGTAGGTAGACATGCTTTTCCTCCTTGCACAACCATAGAAAGAATTGCAACCAGACCTCAAAAGTATTAACGCCCCCACCTGTGAGAAAATCGAGCTGTATGGAAGTCCGACACCTAAGGATTTAAATAAGACATGTTCATCCAGACAGGTAGGAGGGGTGCAGTCATGGTGTGGTGCAGAAGGCTGTGCTGGCAGCAGCAGCAGTGGCAGAACAGATGGGATGGATAACTTTGGAGTGAGAGATCCCAGCCCCAGTCTGCACAGCCCAGGTTCCAGCACCCAGAAGATAGATCTTCATCGTCTCTGGCTGTGAAAACCACAGTGGGGGTTGGGAAGGTGGAAGAAACTGCTGGATTTTCACCACTGAAAGGTCTAGCATGGCCTTAGAATGAACACAAACCCACACAATACAGGATATACCACTGGGGCAGCACCTGAAAAGGCACCAGTCACACATGTGAAGGGTATGAAGAAACTGGAAATGGATGAATACTGGGTGAGCTGCCAGAAACCAGACAGCAGCATTGTCCTATCTCTGAGCACTCTCCGCAGAGCCACAAAGTGGTGAAGTTGGTGCCCTGCCCTGGCAATTACCTAAGGCTGTGCCCCACATAATTTACAGATGCCTTTTTGACATAGGCCATGCTACTAAGACTGGGAGTCAAAGTAGCTCTACTCAATACACAGAAACAAACACAAGGAGGCTGCTGAATTAGGAGACAAAGAAATATGGCCCAAATGAAAGAACAGAACAAAATCCCAGAAAAAGAGCTAAGTGATATGGACATAGTCAACTTATCAGATAAAGAGTTCAAAACACTGGTTATCAGGATGCTCAGGGAATTCTTTGAGTGCTGCAAAAAAATAAAGGAAGATATAAAGTGTACACTAAGTGCAATAAAGAATAATCCATAGGAAACAAACAGAGAAGGGAAGGAAACTGATATTCAAATCAACAGTTTGGAACATAAGAAAGAGATAAACATTCAACTAAAACAAAAAGAAAGAAGAATTCAAAAAACTGAGGATAGGCTAGGAACCCTTGGGACATCACCAAACATGCCAACATCCAAATCATAGGGAAGCCAGAGGTAGAAGAGGATGAGCAAGAAATTGAAAATTTATTTGAAAAAAAATAATGAAAGAAACTTCCATAATTTGGTGAAGGAAATAGACATGCAAGTCCAGGAAGCACAGAGAATCCCAAACAAGTTGGATCCATAGAGGAACACATCAAGACACATCATAATTGAAACGTCAAAGGTATAAGATAAAAAGAGAGAATCTTAAAAGCAGCAAGAGAATAGCAGAGAGTTACCTACAAAGGAGTTCCCATGAAACTGTCAGTTGATTTCTCAAAAGGAACTTTGCAGGCAAGGAGGGACTAGCAAGAACTATTCAAAATGATGAAAAGCAAAGGCCTACAATCTACATTACTCTATCCAGCAAAGCTAACATTTAGAATGGAAGTATAGATAAAATGCTATCTAAAAGGTAAAACTAAAGGAGTTCATCACCACCAAGTCATTATTACAGGAAATGTTAAAGGGACTTACTGAAGAAAAAAGAAAAAGATCAAAACCATGAACATTAAAAAAGCAACAAATTCACAACTACCAACAACTGAATCTAAAAACAAACAAACTAACTAACTCAACTAAACAACCAGAACAGGAACAGAATTATAGATATGGAGATCATTTGGAAGGTTATCAGCTGGGAGGGGGGAAAGGGAAAATAGGGAAATGGTGCAGGGATCAAGAAGCGTAATTTGTAGGTACAAAATAGACTGGGGGATGTTAAGAATACTACAGGAAATGGAGAAGCCAAAGAACGTACACAAATGACCCAGTGACATAAATTAAGGCAGGGTGGGGTACTGGGCAGAGGGGGGCAAAGGAAGATACACTGGGACAACTGTAATAGCATTATCAATAAAATATGGTAAAAAAGAAAAATGAAAGTAGACCACCTTCTTACACCACACACAAGAAAAAATTCAAAATGTATCAAAGACTTAAATGGTAGACTCAAAACCATAAAAATCCTAGAAGAGGACATAGGCAGCAAAATCTCAGACATTGTTCATAGGAATTTTTTATGAGATATATCTCCCCAGACAAGGAAAACAAAAGAAAAAATAAACAAATGGGACTACATCAAACTAAAAGTTTTTTGCACGGCAAAGGAAACCATCAACAAAGTAAAAAGACAACCACAGAATGGGAGAACATAATTGCCAATACATCTGATAAGCAGTTAGTATCTAAAATTTACAAAGAACTTACAAAACACCAAAAACCAAATTATCCAATTAGGAAATGGGCAAAGGACCTGAGTAAACACTTCTCCAAAGAGGACATAGAGATGGCCAATAGACATATGAAAAGATGCTCAACGTCACTAATCATCAGAGAAATGCAAATTAAACCACAATGAAATACTGCCTCACACCTATCAGAATGACTATCATCAGCAGATCAAAAACAAATGGTGGCGAGGATGTGGAGAAAGGGGAACCCTTTTGTGCTATTGGTGGAAATGTGCACTGGTGGAAAGCAGTGTGGAGATACCTCAAAAAACTAAAAATGGATCTGCCTATTGACCCAGCAATCCCACTTCTGGGAATATATCAAAAGGAGCATGAAACACTGATTCAAAAAAACACAAGCATCCCTATGTTCATTGCAGCATTATTTGCAATTGCCAAGTTATGGAAGCAGCCCAAATGTCCATCAGTAGATGAGTGGATAAAACAACTATGACACATTCACACAATGGAATACTACTCAGCTGTAAAAAAGAAAAAATTTACCCTTTACAACAGTATGGATGGACCTGGAGAACATTATGCTAAGTGAAATAAGCCAGTCAGAGAAAGACAATACCATATGACTTCACTTGAATGCACAAAGTGAACTAACAAGAAAAATGGGGACAGACTCATAGATGGAGAGCAGGATGACAGCTGGGGAAGGGGGATGTTTGGGGATGGAGGGATTGAGCCAAAAGGAAAAAGGACTCATGGACATGCACAGCAGTGTGGTGATAGCTGGGGGGGGGAGATTAAGAGGACTAAATGATAATGGAAAAAATGCAATAAAGATGAAATTTAAAATATGTAAAACTGAATTTAGAATCACAAACTTCTATATAGAACTATTATTGCCACTAATGTGAATAGGCCTGTAGATTAAAGGAATTCTGGCTAAGAATGCATTTCCCAATCTCACATCAGAAATTTATGCTAGTCCCAGATAATTCCAAGTTGTCTTTCATATATTAGGACTGTGAAAATTCTTAGTGCACGTACATTTATAGGAAGTCTTATTTTTTCTCTTGGTAAAATATTGCTCCTGGAATGAAATAGCTACAACAATATTCTCTGAGCTGAAAATAATTGCATAGAGAAATTGTTTGGGGGCACGTGTGTTATAAGGCTGCCTTATTGTACCTCCCTTCTGTTTACCTTCTCAAAACATGTTCCCCAGAGTAGGATATATACTCCACACATACCATTTGGTCAGCAAAATCAATAGAAGTTTAAATGCTTTGAAGCATTTATCTCTGTTCACCATAGCTTTATCTCTGTGCTGAAATAAAATGCTTTTTGATAGGAATCCTCTCTCTTAGCACCTAATAATGGATACAGATCGAACCTGTTCAATCAGAGCAGAAACCCTCCAAACTCAGGATGAATAAAAGATTTTCAAAATATACTGAGAGAACTGAAAATATCCTTACCTGGGCAATTATATCTATAATTTCTGAATAACTGTGGCATCGTCTCACACCAGATCGAGCCAAAAAGTCTTCCACCAGCCGTGTTCCAATGCCATATCCCCTGTGAATGAAGGAAAGAGTGTGGTCTGGAAATAATATTTGCGTCATTAGTGAAATTTATCAATGTTTAAGAATGGATTCGTCTTGTTAGCATGTGCCCAAGTGGATAACAAACTAAACAAAACGTGACAAGTCAAATGGCTATTTGGCAGCGGGCTCCTTATTTGTCCCCCTGACCACAAAAACAGGTAGCAACACATCTGGGGTATATTAACTAATCTACAAACAAAGGAATTTTTGAGGATTCAAGACTGGCCAAAACTTGACAGTGTACACTAAAGTTAAAGAAGGTTGGTTGGTGTTTGCGACCCAATGTTTCTCATTAGCAACTAACTTTCTCATCATTAGCTGTAGATAGAAAGAGAATGAGGGCCTGTTTGACTTGTTGTCTGCTACAGGTATGGTCACTGGATGCTCATTCTTCTCTTGGCAGCATTATCATGGTAGGAGGGTAGGCATGTCTGCCATGATCTCCGAAAAGAGGGGATAAGGGGAATAGAGAAATCAATTTTTGTTGCCAGTGTAGATGTCAACAGTTAGGCTCTGAATTTTAGTGAAAAGAAAAAAAGAGCCAAGTCCAGAAAATTTATTTTTCACTTCAGGGAAACTGAATCTATGGGACTTGGGAGTAAGTATTTATATTAGCTCCATGTCACAACAAATAGCTTGAGTGCTTGAACTATAATTAAGAAAGCATTTTATTGAGGTGTGATCTGACTATGTGGCTAAGGTGACTGAGCATTCACCCTCAGTGAGATCAACCTAAGAACTTTCAATATAGTTGAGGAAATATGATCTTAATGGTGGAAATAAAAAAGAGCAATACTGCCATTTCTAAACCACTGACATAAAATTGATTTAATTTCACAGCAGCGTGTACATAGAGAAGTGAAATGATTTGAATAGAGCAACAGAAAACCCAGCAAGATAAAGACACCAAGGTTTGTAGAGGTGATATTTACTCCCCAGGGTCTAGAAAAGGGGGGGATATTTGGTGACTGGGAGTTTGAGGATAGATACATTTAATGTCAGAGTGCTCATCCATTCCCTAAATCGATGAGATATTCTATTTGTATTTCTGAGTGAATAGCACCATTCAGTTTAGCTTACTTACCTTTCAAGAAAAATGTTTTCTGATTCTTGTCAGGAAGTTCACACAGAATAGACTTTTAAAAAACAGAGCGTATACTTTATAGAAATAGTTGTATTAGGAGTAAAGAAATGTTTACAGTGTTTCTTGTTTTATGCATATATACAGGGTTGGCACTTGGGAACAGTGATGAGAAGCTAGAACATTATAATCAGTACCACATATATGCATATGTATATTGCTTTGTTCAAAAGGTATGCTTCTGCAAAGTATATATTTTGTATATTTATGTATTGAATTAAAAATGTAAGATGCTTTCAGCAGAAGATATTAAAGATACTCAAATGTGAAGTATTTTTCTTAAGGCAAGTCCTTTTGGCAGCCTCTCAAAACTTATTCTTTAACTAATATTTTACTTAGATTTGTTAATGTGCACTCAAGTAGTACCTAACCAGAGCTATTTTTTTTTAGTCAAATAAATGAACTACTGCATTTTATACAATGCAAAGCCACGTAAGATGCTTCACCTTCTGAAAACGCTATATGACATGTTGAAGTATGACCCAGGTGTGAAAGGGCTTAAGCAACTCCCACTCTTACAGTTAGTTTAGATGAGGACATGCTACTGACTAATTCAGAAGAAATGGAAAAAAAAAGGTACATGGATCAGAATAAATACAGGACAGTGAAAAAAAAAACTTTTCAGTGGAAAAAGAATAAACATGCAGAAAGAAAGAAGTGTTTGAGGAAAAAATCTTTAATACTTCTTTTATGTTTTTATTTCTGTATTTCAACTAAAAATACAGCGAAGCCTTTTAAAAAGCTAAAATGCTCAATTCAATTAGGCTAAATTTTCCATTCAACCTAAATATTCTAACTAGCACGGATTTTTCAGTCATTGCCCTGTTAGAGTCCTTTTCAGGATCCATATTTAAGAGGTTAAAAAATGTTGACAGGTATCTTATTATTGGGCAATAATCTGGTGTTCATGTAATTATAGTGAGAAATTTAAAGGCTCAATTTGTGCAGAGGGAATTCCCATTAATAAAGACAAGTATAATAGGTTTTATCTTCAAAAGAAGAAGTGTGTTTCTCTAGTATATTTTTTAAGTAAAGTGTAGTAATGGGAAAAGCATTCAAACAATAAATAGGAAATAAGTAAATCTACCTTTTACCTATAATCCTCCATCTCCCAGTTCTCTCAGGCAACTACCATTAGTAGCTTTTCATATATCTTTCCATAGATGATCTATGCTTATATAAGCATATACTTATATTGGAAGGAGTTATGTTAGAACAAAAGACTTCTGAAAACAATCATATTTGATGATTCATCATGTTAAAAGAAAATTTTCAGTTTTAACACCTGTTTTGCTTATAAACAACTAACAATATATTAAAAATGATTTCCAACTAAAAAGACAATATTCTGTGCTTGATATTCATGGAAAAAAGTCTCTTCGTACTACTTTATACTTTATAACAACCTAAATGGCAGCTGGCAGAAGTTACATCTAGCTTTAAGATATCATTTATTGAAGTAGAAGGAGAACTGGTGGAATGGAGCAAGAGATGTCATTAGAGGTGGACAAAATGCAGAGGATGTTAAGAAACAATGCAGATTCCACATGAATTAAAGACTTCTACTTACATTTTATCTAAATATTTATTCACATCTTCATCTTTTTCGTAATCCTTACACAGTTGGGCAACCAGAGCTCCATAGGTGAGGACAAAGAGATCTTTGTTCTGGAAAAAAATGGATGGTTTCATGTTATAGGCAGTTACAAACAATATACTACTCTTATCTTTCAGTTGGATGCAGCCTTCCAGATCATCTGTTCATTTTTCCACCCTCTGTTGTACCCATATTTGGATACATTGCTCGAGGGGAGAAAGAGCTGTGAAATAAAATTAATTTCTTGACAAAAGAACATTTTTCTATGCATTTGCTTGTATTATATAACTTGCAACATATTTTCATGGAGGAAGTTTCTACAGAAATACTAATTGCTAATATAAATTGCTATTGCTTTAGAATGGCCTTTGGTATATGCTGCCCATGTTTGCAGTTGGAAGGAATAATTGGGCAAGACTTCTCATGAGCCTGCACACTCCCTAATCGGTTCCAAACCTGCCAGGGAAACCATCATGATGAATCCAACTGTAGCAGCAAATTTATGATTTTTTCTTTATAGTTAGAAAAAAAACAGAAAAACTTGCACATTCCTTTTAGATCTCCAAAATATGTCTTATCTTCAGAGTGAATTAAAAACTAAAACTAAAACTGAGGATAATTTAGGTTTGGTTTAGTATAGATAGGTTGAAAATATGGGAAACAGAAAACACAAAGTGCAATCAATCCATTTTTAAAAGTCTCTGTTTTGTATCAGCTATCAAATACTATATAAGAAAGGAAAGGGGATATTGGAGATAATTTATTCCAATGCTCTCAGTCTGAAAGAAGGGGGCCATGAGACTTCAGGAGGAATGAGTGATTTGACCAATAGCCAGCGGTTGGCAGAAGCAGGATGGAGCCTGAGATCGCGGGTCCCACTCCATGGCAAGCATTGCTGAGGTGCAGAAGAGAAGGCACGTATGGAGTAGAGGTTGGAGGGAGAGGGAGGTAGGAAGAGTTACCACTATTGAAAATCATCATGTTTTGTGCTTAATCTGTATTTTCATGAAAGGTCAAATGTGGATTCCTAGTTAGAAGAGGTGTCCTTAGTTCTAGGCCCAGGTATCTTGGATAGCCAAATGTACAGGGAAAATAAGGCCTGATGATACATATTTAATTTTTTTTTTGACTATGGGCAGAAATGGCTCATCAATAAAATTGTTCATTCAACAAAGGGGCTTCACTATATGAATTATTATGTAATTTTGCTCCAAATACTCCAAAATTGGCCCAATACCACCTGTGTCCACTCTCTTACCTGTGGACTTATACTATGATAAATTTTTAAAAATCAGATAAAATACTTATCATCACTAAATAAGTTTTAAATGGATAGAATCTAAATATTATACAGCATATATGGATATAATTTATGTTGAAAAATATAAATCAAAATGTCATAAATGTATGTAGAATATATTATATACATTAATTGGTGTTACATTAAGAATAATAATATATACAATTAAGAGATAAGAAACTAATAAATACATTAATATTTCTACCAGGAAACGAAGGATGTAAAGCAAGAAATTGGAACAAAAATATTGTTAAATTATTGAAGAGTCAGCATGTATTTAATTTTAATTTTGTTTTTATTTAAATTTTCCTAGAATGTAATTACGAGTTACAAGAAATGTCTACACTGAAATACCTGCTGAGTATTTAAGGGGCCACAGCAGAAAATAAATTACTGAAATAAGCAAAAGTGAAGGGTGGGGAGAGAGAGATAACATGGTGGTTGTTACTAGCAATAAAACAAAAGAATTTTAAAAGAAAATAAAATTATACCTATCTACATGCTATAGCCTCAGCATTGTGCCCACTTATAATTAAGGCAAGCTGAAATAATGGTATTTCCCTCCCTGTCTCTGATGGGTAAGTACTAACTATGTTTTACTTCCAGCTGAGTTTTAAGTTTAATGCCCATAAAGTTCAGTTTTCTCCATTCTGTTTCATGGCCAAAGATTGTACCTTCAACTACATGTCCAGTAGGGTCTCAAATTCATACAACTTATTACAAGAAATATCTACATAACTTTATCAATATATGAAACAATCATTTTCAGATATGAAAAATAGAACACTAGCTATTTCAAGAGGCTTTGGATATATCAGGATAAATATCAAGCGATATAGGTGTAATATGAACTATGTACAATATGTTTTAGCATTTGAGAGCCCCATGTAAAAATAAATCAAGATCCCGGTATGCTAAAGGGGGCACCTATAGGTATTTCCATCTGGGGTGTACATGGGTTTATCACAAAATTTTAAATACTCATGGCTGAAATTACTTAATTTTATGCAATACCCATCAGTCTCCTGAAATAATTAACAGAGCTTTAAACTTAATGATGAGCTTTCACTTATGTAACTTCTGGATGTCTAAACCTTTAACAAGAAAGGATATCCAAATCTAATATGCAAATAATTAAGTTTTAAAAATAACTCTGAACTGGGAACATATAGAAAAGATAATACTATATAACAAATTACAACAATAACCCCTTACATTTCAGGCTAGGGGATGTATTTTTCAAGGCAATCTTTTCATACCAAGTTTTTGATGATCTATCCCTATTTAATTTAATATATAATCAAATATTTTCTATGCACTTCATTTTCTACCTCATAAAGTATGAAAAATTTGACACTTATATAGATATAACCAGTCAGAAATGTACATAAAGGATCAATTATTCTGTTATAGTATGTAGGAGATTGTTGTAACTATTCCCAGAGGTGTCATCTATGACTCACTCCACTATACACTCCCTTGCTCCGCTGAAATATTCTAGTTGCCTTTCAAAATAAATAAAAAATCATTTATAACATTTTCCCTGAAGAAGAATAAGATATCTTTGAGAACACGTTCATAAAAAGATCTTACTATTTTATGGTATTCTGGTCTTCTATGTGCAGGACGAGACATAGTGCTTGATAGATGAAGAATGGGGTCTTCAGTCTCTTTTTCTTCAGCTTTGTTTTGTGTATGCCAGTTCCTCCTCGCTCTGAGACAACAGTGTTACTTATGTACTCCACGGCTTTTGCTCATTGCTGAACGGAAGAAGACAATCACAAGCAGAATTGCGCAGTAGCCACGTACCTTGCCACTGATCAAATAAGTACTGCTTCACTTGTGAGGATGAATTGTAATCTAGAGGCATAAAAACTGAGTGGGAAATCAGATCAGAAGCACCATCTACTGAAAATTCTTTAGCCCAAGGGAGTATGAAAGTGGTGTTTTGCTCTCATGCCAAAGCATTGTTTTAAAATCACAAACAGAAACCTTCACAATCCAAGACAGATCTAAATGTTACCATTATTCAGTCTTTGTATTGATTGTTGTGTGAACTCAAGATGGGATCAGCAATCTATCAGCACTAAATCCTGGGTTCTGACCTAATCAACTGTAATGGGTATCACATTATCCCCTGGATAATGGGCAGCACAGACCCCATCTTGTGTGATTAAAAAATTCAAATATATCTGGTAACTTTTTATCCCTAACCAGCAATTCGAAGGAGTGACAGAATTTGGGTGCTATTTTCTTATAAAACTGTTGCTCAAAATGGGTGTTCTACAGTTTAATAATGTATGATGACTCTGGCAGAGAAAGCAAGCCCTTAGCTTTCTTTTGATAGTCCTTGAGATGTTGGCTATTGAAAGCTCCTTTTATTTATACAGCAATATAGATATTTAAAGTTGAAACAAGAATCCCTCTCATCTTGACAACTGCAGGGTGTGGAGGATCAAAACGTTTCTAGAAATAGAAACTTAAAACTAAGTTTAAGGAAATAGTTTCTTGCTTCTTATGGCTTGAGTCAATTAGCCCTGTGTGTTCTGAAAAATCCTTGCTATAAAGCAACAGACTACTGACGACTTTGAAGAAGAGCATGATGTAGTTGAAAGAGCCTAGGAGGGTTTTGGAGGCTCAGGCTAAGCTGCAGCTCTACCATTTACTGGCTGTGTGACTTGGACAAGCCATTTTATTGCTCTCTGGCTCAGTTTCCACATCTGCAAAATGGCTATAATAATACCCACCTCACAGAATAATTGTGAATATCAAAGAGATAATGTGTACTATAAAGCACATTATAATGCATTATATAAACAATAATTACTATAGATTATTCTTGAAGTTGAATATATTGGATGGGATTCTACAACATATAAGTTATTTCCATTAATACCTATGTTCTATGACCCCATTCTCAGGAAAATCAGTTTTGCTGACTTAGGATTTGGGGGTCTTTTCAGTAGCAGTTTAACAGCATCTCATATTTATATAAACTTTACAGTTTACAATATGATTTTCATTTTCTTTATCTCACTTTAATTCATCCACTGTTGTGAAGTAGTCAGTACTTGGATCATTACCATGTCATAGGATAGGAATCTAAAAGAGAAGTTAAGAAATTTTTTCAGTGTTAGCTAGAAAGTACGCAACAAAGAGAGATTTGGGCTAAATTTGTTGATTCCAAGTCAAAAAAAATTTTTTTTTACCACACGCGCTGTAATTACATTACAAGAAATATGTATGTTTGGGGTAGATTCACAAAAGCTACCAAGGCCCAGTTTGAGTCAATTCTGAGGTCTGTATGGGAGATCCCTGAAAAAAAAAAAACAACCAAAAAAGCAACATAGAAAAGTCCTGTGTACTTGGTGGGAGGGAGAGACGATACAGGAATCAATTTTACCAAACTCTAAAGGTTGTGGTACAGGGACATCAGGGCCACCATGAGAACTCAGGACATCATGGGTACATTAGAGAAAGCCAGCTCTTCCTCCCTGACACTGGGCCCCCCTTTTCCCCAACCCTGCAGCCAGGACTATAGGGCTTCAGGAAGGAGCCCTCACCAGGATTACTGTGCAAAAGCATACTCTGCACAAGCACAGCAGTAGGCACTGGCTCTGGGGCAGAGGTTGGCTGGTGTTCAGACTGGGAAACCCAGTTGTCTTCAGCAGCTCTTATGATCCTAGTTAGACTAATGTCCCCCAGCCTCCTTATTTTTACGTAAAACCACCCTTCACTTAAATGGAAGAAGGCATAGAGGTTGCCTCAAACATGTAGATCAGCAATTTTCGACCTTTTACATCACATGGCACACAAATACTAATTACTAAGTTTCTGCAGCATACCAAAAAATATATATTTTGCTGGTCTGAAAAAAAAAGAGGTATGATTTCGATTCATTCACACTGGGTGACTATTGTTGTGTTGGCTGTTGTCATTTTTTTAAATTTGACACTCTAAGGGAAAAGAGGTCAGTGCCCCTGACTAAATAGTCAGGTATTGCATGTTTTAAAATTCTTGCAGCACCTTAGTTGAAAATCAATAATGTCTGCCCTGGCAGCAAACTAGAAAGAAGAGACATTTTAAAATAATGCAGAAGGGAATTTTTCCCTCTTTTATTTAGAGTTCTTCCAGTGTCCTAAGATTGAATTCAGAGCTGGGGTTGGAAATATGATACATTCTTCAGTCTTGTCATATTGCACTGCAATGTCAATCAACACAAGTAAATGGTGAACTGGGCCACTTCCGTATACTTGCCCTTTGTTGGGTACCTGGGTAGTTGAGTAGTGACTTGGGGAGATGCTAAGAAAGTAGAACATCTACTAACCTGTCAGCCAGATGATCACTATCTGAGATCATCCACAAACTTTCAGACAAGGTAAAGCCACATCCAGGTACCTACTGAGGAGCAGACATTTTTATGTCTTGAATAAATCACAGCAAGCTATCTTTAATACGGATACCATTAGGTTATAAGGTGCAATATAAAATTGATTACTCATAGGTATAATCATTCACAATCATTGATAAGTTACACAGACGTACTGCAAATGAAGTCATTATTTCTCCCAACAGTAAACAACAATAAGAAATTAAGAATTTGTCATCAATAAACTCCTTTAGAGCAAGACTTCGAAACCCAACAGTGACTTCTAATTGATCATTGCTCCAACAGTTCCTACATAGTTCCTTGAAAGAATGGTCTACAATTTCCTTCTCTACTTACTCACTCCCCATAGACTCTATTAAACTGATTTTTTAAATATGAAATTATTAACATACAGAATATGTAATATTTTGTTTTAAAACTTTACATAATGTATCATACTGCATGTATCTTACAGCTTGAATTTTTCCTTCAAAGTTATTTGTTAAGTGCTCAGCCCAAATGAAGGGCACACCTCAAGTACCCAGCTTGGGTGATAGGGGAGGCTGCGCCACTGGACCCAACAGGACAACTACTACATTAAGCAACACTACCAAGACACAGAGTCATAGCAGCTCAACCTAATACATAGAAACAAACACAAGGAGGCTACCACAACGGGGAGACAAAGAAACATGGCCCAAATGAAAGAACAGGTCTAAAGTCCAGAAAAAGAGCTAACTGAAATGGAGATAAGCAATCAATCAGGTACAGAGTTCAAAACACTCATTATAAGAATGCTCAAGGAACTTAGTGAGGACCTCAGCAGCATAAAAAAGATCTGGTCAGAAACAAAGGATACACTAATTGAAATGAAGAACAATTTACAGGGAAACAACAGTATAGTGGATGAAGCTAAGAATCAAATCAATGATTTGGAACATAAAGGAGCAAAAAACAGCTAATCAGAACAAGAAAAAAAAAGAATCCAAAAAAATTAGGATAGTATAAGCAGCCACTGGGACAACTTCAAGAGGTCCAACATTTGCATCATAGAGGTACCAGCAGGAGAAGAGAAAGAGCAAGAAATTGGAAATCTATTTGAAAAATAATGAAAGAAGGCTTCCCTAATTTGGTGAAGGAAATAGATATGCAAGTCCAAGAAGCACAGAGAATACCAAGCAAGATGGATGCAGAGGTCCATTGCAAGACAAATCACAATTAAAATATTGAAGGTTAAAGATAAAGAGAGAATCTTAAAAGCAGCAAGAGAAAAGGAGTTAGTTACCTACAGGGTGTTCCCATGACAGCTGATTTCTCAAAAGAAGCTTTGCAGGACTGGCAAGAAATATTCAAAGTCATGAAAAGCAGGGACCTACAGCCAAGATTGCTCTACCCAGCAAAGTTATCCTTTGGAATCAAAGGGTGGATAAAGAGCTTCTCAAACAAGGAAAATCTAAAGGAGGTCATCATCACCAAGCCATTATTATATGAAATGTTAAAGTGACCTACTTAAGAAAAAGAAGACCAAAACTATGAACAATAAAATGGCAAAATATACATATCTATCAACAGGTGAATCTAACAAACAAACTAAGAAAACAAGAAAAATAGAGACAGAATCATGGATACAGAGAATATTTTTTGTGGTTGCCAGAGGGGAGGGGAGTGAAAAGAAATGGGTGAAGAGGTGAGGGATTAAGAAGTACAAATAGGTAGTTGCAGAACGGCCACAGGGATGTAAAATACAGAAAAGGGAATGGAGTAGCCAAAGAATTTATATGCATGACCCATGGCCATGAACAATGAGGAGGGGATTGCCTGAGGGAGTGGGGGGTGCTGTGTGGAAGTGGCAAAGGGGGAAAAATCAGGAGAACTGTTATAGCATAATTAATAAAATATAATTTTTAAATAGTCTATTTTTAAGATTTATACATATCCATAGCTGTCAGTCTAGTTAATTTATTTATTTTCACAGCTCTATAGCAGAGGTCAGCAAGCTTTTTCTGTGATGAACTGGATAGTCAACATTTTAGGCTTTATGGCCATACGCTCTGTCACAACTACTCATCTCTGTGGCTGCAGTGGGAAAGCAGCTATAGACATCTCAGGAGCCAGCATGGCTATGTGCCAATAAAACTGTATTTATAAACACTGGGATTTGAATTTCATGTTATTTTCACATGTCATTTAAAAATGTAAAACTCATGCTTAGCTCAAAAGTCATGTAAAAGAGGCAGTGAGTCAGTTTGGTCTCTGAACCATAGATTGCCAACCCCTACTGCGTAGCATTCTATTACCATGTTTTTTGAAAAAAATATTTTAAAAAATGTTTTTATTTTTATTTTTTATTTAAATTGGTTTCTTTGTAATTAGACATTAATGTACATGATCAATATGTTTTGGCAAATAATTTATTGGGAACTTATAAAAATGTTCATTGTCTTTAGGGCATGGGATACTATATTTTAGCTTGCTAATGTTATTCACTATATCTTTTATATAATTTCTAATGTTCACTTGATCAATTATTCCTGATAGAAATGTGTTTAAAAATTCTATGATTTTAAGGATTTCACCTTATCAGTGTTTGCTTTGTATATTTCAAAGTTATGCAGTCACAGATATATAAATTGACACGTCATATCTCATAATGGATTGTTCCTTTTATTTTGATACAGTGTTCAAAATTAGCTTGTCACTTTTTGTCTTTAGTTAATATTTGCCTTAAAGTAATACTATTCCCAGTAATATATATTTCAATATATTTTTCAAGCTTTGTGTGTGGCCTAGTTTTAGGTATGTTGCTTGTAAGTAGAATGACTGTTTTTAAATTGCTCTACAGGTAAGTTCAGTCCAACTCTGGTGTGGTGGTTAAGAACATGTTCTAGACCACTTGAATCCTAATCCTAGTTTTTCCATTCATCTCTGTGTGGCCCTATGCAATTTCCTTAATCTCTACATACCTCAGTTTTCTCATCTGTCAAAAAGCTGAGGATAATTTTAGTACCTCATTGCAGGGTGACTGTGGGGATTGAATAGGAAAAAGGCCTTAGAATAATGCCTGACATGTAGTAAGTACTCAGTAATTATTACTATTTAATTTATTGTGTGTGAAAATTGGTGTGTTTGGTCTCATTTATACTATTATTTTGTGTGTTCTGTTTACTTTTACTATCTGTTTCTTTATTATCTTTTTTCCTATTGATATTCCCTTTTTATTTTCTCTGTTTTTGAGTGACCTTTACACCGTATTTCTGTTATTTAATAATTATTCTCAAAATGTTACTGCTTTATTGAGATATAATTGATGTACAATTTGATGAGTTTTGACCTATGTATGTATACACCCCTAAAGCCATCAAATCGATCAATATATTTGACATTTCCATCACCCTGTGTTAACTGTGATATCTTAGAATCTTTGTCTGTTTGGCATCCAATTAATTACAGGGCTTCACTAGTAGCCAAAGTAACTTACATCTCCTGTGCAATCCAGAGCCCATACTCTGAACAACCTTCTCATGTCTCGTACACCAAGCCAATATTTCCCCTGCTGTAGATCAACGCAGGCCCAGGTATCAGGCAGACAGGGACAGCCCGCATGCTCCAAAGCCTGTCAGAATTACTTAAACTAGCCAGTTCTAAGTTGGTGTCTCTGCCCTGTCTTTCCTTTTCCATAAAAACACCAGTAAAAGGTCCGGCCTAGGCTTTCCATTCCCCCCTTCTGCCTCCTGGCCAAACCTGGTGATTCTCCATATGGCCCTATGAACTGGCATGCCCCTTTCTCTTGATAAATGTAATAAATTCTTCTTTCAGTGGCATTGGCCTGTCTGTGTCATCACTTAGTCATTTCCATACATCAAAATCCTGCTGGTACAAACTGATGCAATGCCTAAAAAAGTTCTCATGTCTCTTAGTAATCTCTCTCTTCTTATTTCTCCTCCCTTACTCCCTAGACAAGCACTGAATATTTTCTGCCACTATAGATTAATTTACATTTTTTTAAATAATTTTATGTAGTATGCCTTCACTTGGATTCTTTGATTCAGGAAATGATTTTGAATTTATTCTTGTTATTGTGTCATTTCCAGTTTACAGCTATTGTAAATAAAACTGCTATGGACATCCACGTACAGGTTTTCATGTAGAAATATGCCTTCATTTTCTCGAGCAACTACCTAGGAGATAAATGAATGTGTTACATCCTGGATGTAGAGATAGCTTTTAAAGAAACTGACAGTTTTCCAAAGAGGTTGTTCCATTTTACTTTACCACCATCGATGTATGAGGGCTCCAGTTACTCTGCAATCCTCACCAACACTTTTTAATTTTAGCCATTTCAGTAGTGATATCTTACTATAACCATATGTTGTCTTATTAATATCTGTTAAATTAAAAAGTATTTCTTCCTACAGCTTATAATTAATTAAAGGAACATCTTCAGAGTATCATATTTGTGTTCAGTATTTTTTACTCCATGTTTTTCCTCAGAGTTCATTTCTCCTTGCTGAAAATATACTTTCGCAATTCTCTTATGAGGTTCCATGTGTCGTAAATTCCCTCAGTCTTACGTATCTTCATCTTGTTCTGTCTTGAATGAGAGTTTAGCTGGTACTAAGTTACTGTGAAGATGCTGCCTTCTGGCCTGTATTGTTAGCAATGAGAAGTCTCTTGTTGGTTTATTGTCATTCTATTATAGGTTCGGTGTCTCTTCTTCCTGGTAGCTTTTAAGAACATCTTTTTTATTTTTCACACTGCAGTTTTACTATGACATGTTTATATGTGGATGTATCTTTACACTATTCCTAACATCTAACACTCTTCTGATATGAGAATTTTCTTTGATTCTGCAAAATCCTCAGTTATTTCTCTCCAGATGTTGCTTCTCTGACTAGTCCTCTAATATTTTTTCCTCTGGCACTACTACTGAACAGATTATGGAGTTGTTTAATTTGTCTTCTATTTCCTATAATTGGTTTTTAAAATATTTTAATTGTGTTTTCATATTGCACTTTGGGTGAATTCTTCAGCATTATGTTTCAATTCACTAATTATGCATCTAACCATGTCCAGTTGAGTGTTTTTTTGAAAAGAGAAATTTATATTCATACTCACTTTTTATAAGTCCAGCCAAACTTAATCCACTGGCTTTTATAAATAAGTTATACAAAAATATTTACTGATTAAGCAAATATAGAAAACACCTTATATATCTGATCATTTTATTTCTTCTTTACAGACATATAACTTTATTAATATGCAATATCACACTTTCATAGAACAAAAAGATTCACATAAACAAATATGCTTAAAGTAACATTATTATATTATAGTCTGTCAATACAAATAGATTTTTATGCAATGTTAGAATGCTTTTTTGTGATTTGGTTTTAGGCATACCCAAGCCTTCTTCCTCTCTTTTTGGGAAAGCTTTTGGAATCTTCTGGCAGAACTTTTGGGTAATGGACACTCAAGAGAGCCCTGAATTTTAGATCAGTTTAGTTTTTAATAATCTCCATTATTCTTTATGTCATAATTTTATGGTAAGAAAACCTAGGACTAATACAAAGGTAAGAACGTTCTCCATTTTGCTCCCAGTGCTCTGTTTGCTGGTGCTGAGCATTTTGTGTCACGCGAAGCAACACACAGTAGGTTGACAACAGTGCTTAGCACGCAAGCCATCCTTCTTTAGCGGGAAGATGCCGGGAGCCTACCTAGCCCTGCTGTCTAACAAGGTCGCAGGGGGACGTGGACAATCGCAAGGCAGATGTCCAGAAGCTCGGCTCTTGGGACTTTCCTGTTTACTTGTGGTTATAATCCCCCTCATGGGGGTATGCCTGATTGCTCCTAGAACAGCCCTTTTGTATGGTGTTGCAGGAATGCCAGGCAATGAGACAAATAGGACAGGGGGGAGAAATTGACCACTAAGCCCTGTACCCCATTTAAAGAAGTCTATAAGAAAATTAGAGGGCAGGAATTGCAGGCCCTCATATAAGCCACAAAATCACCCAAGCCTGCGGGCTAACGGGCAGCCCCCAGGCCAGGGAAGAAACACGGGAAGCCCCAGGATAAATAAAGCCCGGGGAAAACGAGGAATGTAAGTATGGGTGCCTGAAACCACTGTCGAACCATTGCCTTACACAGGGGCATACGTGGAGGGAGAAAGAATGGTAGTGAAAAAATGGAAAACGTGTGAGGTGGCAGGAATTGAGCCTCCTAGAGGCCTTGGCACAGTCAGGACTCCCGACCCTCCCCCCCCCCCCGCCCCCGCCCCGGCCAGTGTTATAGAATAAAGGAATCTAGGAATGCTATTAGGAAACAATTAAATAAGTATTATAGAGATATAGGGTGCTGGTATTATATCAGAAATTACGAGTGAAAATGTGCCAAACTGGGGTAACCGCAGGACTTCCGCAAATAACCTTTGCGGAGTATGCTTTAGCAGTGTAAGCTTTAGGACTTAAATGCTTAGTTAGAAATATAGACTAAGAGTAATAGAAATAAAGTTGAGCATAGAGGTAAAAATAAGTGGGACGTTAAAACCCCATGACTATGTGGTAAGGGAAACTGAAAGAACCGATGTCTGATTTATGTTAGTACTTAACCACAACTTATGTAATGTCTGAATATAAATAAAGGACTGCCTGCGTGCTGCACACAGACTGCCTGCAACTCCCTGCCTGGCCCCTCATCATTTCACTGCGCAGACTCGGTCCATTCCAGTGGGACCCTGAAGGTTGCTGGAGCGGGTCTCCGGCAGGAAGACACACTGAAAAAGTTTTCCCAGTCAGTCATACCAGATGAACCCCTCTTTCAGTTTCTTCCAGCTATGAGTATAATCTGAAGTGCATTTATTAGGTCAGGATTCCCAAGATGCAGAAGGAACGATGCTAGAATCTTTTCAACATGTAAGGATGTTGGGTTAACTGACAGAACCAGTTAAACCAGTAAGATTCCATAAAATGGTTATAGCTGGAGGAGTCTAATGATCAGAAAGGGCTAAGCGCTGATTTGAGGAAGAGCTTCCCAACAATGTGCTCAGCGCTCAACAGTATTGTATCTTCTCTGCAGAGAAGTGGGACATTGATCAATTCTTTAATTGCCGCTCTGACTATTGGTGGGCAACAACTGTTCTCTTCTTTCACATTTGGATGTCCCTGTCAAGTTGGGAAAAATTTCTATTATGGTTCTGCTTTCCTAATCATCCCTGCCTTGATCCTTCTGGTTGCTGGCTATGCTCTGAGAAACCAAACGTGGGCAATTTCCAGTGAATACTGCTGCAAGTGTACCCCTCCCCAGCGGAGAATCGGCGTCCTGGAGCGCAAGCTGGCTTGCCTGAGGTTCTGCAGCATCACTGGAAGGGCACTCATTGCTCCACTGACGTGGCTGGCGGCGACCCTGATGACAGGCACCTACTACGAATGCGCGGCTAGTGAATTTGCATCTGTGGACCATTACCCAGTGTTTGACAACATCAATGCCAGCAAAAGGGAAGAGATCTTAGCTGGGTTTCCATGTTGCAAATCAGCTCCATCTGACATGATCCTGGTAAGAGATGAAGTAGCTCTTCTGCACAGATACCAGTCACAAGTAAGTTTTTGATTTTTTTTTCCTGTTAACCTTTCCCATATTAACTAGTCTACATTCACTGGAATCATTTCATATTCCTGCTGCTTCTCATATTGTCTGATTATAGAACACAAACTAGATGTCATTCATCAAAGTGATTTCTGCTGAGCAGCTATATAAATACAGTTAGGATATTGGGCTTTGGAATCACTGACCTGGGTTTAAGCCTTTCTTGGCTGTTTATTAACTTGCAAAACCTGAAGCAAGTTATGTAATTTACCTGTCCTTTACTTTTCTCAGCTGTAAAATAGGGCTATTAATGGCATCTACCCCATAGGGTTGGTGTGAGGAATAAATGAGCTAATATATCTAAAATGCTCAGTACTGTGTCCAGAATCTATATACACAAAAACAATGAATTTTAGATATTGTTATTAAACTTAATATTACCATCTTACTAAATTTCATCTTGCTGTATATATATTCTTAAATATGCATTTTTATAAATTAAAATATTGTCTAAAATTACGGGAAGCTTAAATATAATTAAAAATAAACTTTAATGGTGGTTTTAAATTTAGTGTCCTTAAGTCTGTGTGAGGAGTGGGATGAGGGAGGCTGGGGGAAGGCTTGAACCTAATACACTATGAGCTGAATATAAAAACTGTAAAAGTGCAGTTCAACAGATTCATTGGCTTTCATCAGTTTCTCCAAAAGATTTAGGGGGGGGGGAAACCCAACAAAATTTCAAAGCACTGCAATACAGTAAAAATATTATGTTTAAACTACTTATTGCAAAGACATTTTTGACCCATCACTTTTTAGTTATCAAAATTTAGAAGAGCAAATGATATTTAGTTGGACAAAAATACTTTCAATTCACAGAATACTAGTGTTGCATATGGCCCAGTTTAAGCAAAGTTGGAAATCCCATTAAGGTAGGATTTGTCTCAACTTTTGTATGCTAGTCCAGAAATAAAGCTCAGGCAGAGGAGCTATATGAGTACAGGTGAAAAGTTAAATAATCAATGGGGAAATTTTAACTTTAAAAATATCCTTGTTTAAGAAAAACTAAGAGGTAATAACACAATAGTAACATTTTCTTATGGTTAAAATAAAATGTCTTACTTACTGATACACAGACTTCTGTGAAAAGGTGAATTTACAATTCTGAGTGCTATCAGTCTGTGGATTTTTTGTTTTGGTGAAAGTTAATATTTATTTAGTTGCTCATCATAAACTGTATATTTCATATCTTAACTTTAGTCCTCATAATCTAATGAGACAGATATAAGCAATCCCATTTTAGAGATGAGGAAACCAAAGCTCAAAGAATTTATATAACTTTCATAAATTCACAGAGCTAATAAATGGCTGCATGAAAAGATCATGCTGTTTCCATTTCATCAGGGCCTTCTGCAACTACCTTGAACATCAATCTTGCTTGAGAAATGCACACTGTCTTTCAGTTGACCTATTCTTAGTTGACCACAAGATCAAGTTCAAAGTCCTTCCCTACCCATACCTCATTCTCAGATATCTTCCTGATCGTTGTTTCATTTCATTTCAATCTGCTTTATATATCCAGGCCAACATTATTTTTCTAAATGCAAATTGTGATGAGCCTGACCTCATGCATTCCACTTAATGTCCTTTAAGAGTTTCTCACCCGCCAAAGTACAAATCCAAATTCTTGGCATGACATACTAGATCTTCAGTATCTGGCCCCTGACTACTTATCCACATGACTCCTAGAAACCTGTGACTCCAAACTTCTTGAATTTTTCCAAATTCTTTATGATTTTACTTTTCTGTCTTATTCTCTTATTGGAACTCTCCTCAACTTCTTGCATTCTGCTGAACTCCTCTTTAATAATTTTAGTGTGAGTATTATCTCCTCTGAGAAGTATTCCCTTATACTCTTTTCCTTTAAATAAGTTCATTTCTCTTCCATTGTGCTCCCTCAGGCCCTGCCTAAAGACTGTGGAAATAATGCATGTATCTTAAATTGTGTACACCTGTCTCCACAACCAAGCACCACACATGGCACATGGTAGAGGTCAACCTGGGGCTCAATAGATGACAGTTGATAAATTTATGGGCATCAAAGATGGCCTTTCCTCCACCTTGTTAGCCTCTATTAAGTTTAATTGTGATGAGTATCGCCTTGTAGGTTTTAGCCTCCACAGAGTGCAGCTTTGCCCCTGTGCACACACTGGTAATTCCAGACCTGTTGGTGAATCACAAACTGTGGAAGAGACCTCCACCTCCCAGACTGTGGTTGCCTACTCTTGGCTTCTCTAAATGTGTGAAATTTGTGTCCCTCACTTTATATAACAACTGCTGAATATTGAACAAAAAAAAAGAGGAAAAATTAAAAGGAAATATAAGGACTGTAAGAGTAGAAAACAGCCATTCACATCAGTCTTTAATGTTGGAAACTAAATAGTTGCAAATAAAATCTAGTTCATTTTCCTTTTAAAGTACATTTCAAAAAAAGTCATAAAACTAGTCAGCAAACGACTGTTTGAAGGGGGAGGGACATGAAACAGAAAACAATAATGTGTTATCTATTTAGGGACATAAGGGTCTGCTCACTGACTTCCTCCTTTGGTCATAAAAAATGAAAGGAAAGAGCAACTCAGGAAGAAATATTAATGGATATCATTGAAGATGCCTTAGGAGGCTACCATTATTATCTATCATATCATCATTTTCGTCACCATCATTATCAAATGCTTCGCAAGCCCTCACGGAATGCATGGGCCTGTACCTGACAGTTCAAAAGGAAGGTTGGGCTAAGAGCAAAGAACATATTTTATGTTCCTTTATGCAAGGGTAATTTGTGGGTTATAGCATCTGCTACCTCAAGGACAATACTTAGAATCCATTCCAAGTTAAATGATCAAAATCCTTTGTAACCCAAAATTGAAGTTGAAATGGTTGGGCCTATACTTCCATCACACCCATATCCATATCAAATGATCAGCACATTGTTAATATGTTAAAAACTAAGAAAACAAATATCTTGCCCATAGTTTAGCTCTCAATTTTGTAGGAATCCTTCTTACCATGGCTGTTTCTTGAATACTCAATGCATTGATGTTTTCTGTTTTCCTTTTAAATAATTATATTAAGATGCTGGGCTGGATTTTGATCATCTTGGCAGGCGTCGCTGCCCTAGTCTCCCGCTGTGTGGTCAGGTGCTGCTCGCCCCTCACCTCTCTGCAGCACTGCTACTGGACCAACCACCTCCACAACGAGAGGGAGCTCTTTGAACAAGCTGCAGAGCAGCACTCGCGCCTCCTCATCATGCAGCGCATGAAGAAACTATTTGGCTTTATTCCTGGAAATGAAGATGTCAAAAACATACGTATTCCTTCATGTCAGGACTGGAAAGATATTTCAGTACCCAGTCTTCTCTGTTTGGGTGATGACTCGCAAGGTCACTATAACTTCCTTGGGGACCAGGAAGATGAGGCTAATGAGGAAAGCAGATCAGGAGGTATTGAATTAAAACCTTGATTATAGCACCGTTCACAATTCGGGTTGCTCAATACATATTTTATTCTTATGATAATGGGGTCTCAATGTCATTTCTTCATCTTTTTCTCTCTCTTCTAATATTTGTTTACCTAAGTTCATCCAAAATGCTACTTTGAAAATTAGTTTGTTTGATAATTGTGCCAATCTTGCTTTTTGAAATTTCATTGATGGTCTGATTATGCCTATATTGGTCTTACTGGAACAGTGTGGAATTTGGAGTCATATTAACATTTGAATCTTGGTTCTGTTACTTAATAGTTGCGCAAAAATTAATATTTTTGAGTGCCATTATGTTGTATGCACATAGTAGCTACCTCATAGAGCTGCTGTGAGGATTAAATGTGGTAATATAAACTAAGTGCTCAGCACAGTGCTTCCATAAAATAAGTGCTAAATGTAACCTTCTCCCTTCCTCTTTGCATTCTGTGTTTGTATCACTAGTTTCCCGGTCTCTAATTTCTGGCTTTCTTTTTTTTTTTTCCTACCTTATATTCAGAAACGTTTCGCTACTTCTTCCTTCAGGCTTACATATCTGACCCTCTGGAAACCAGGATAAAAAACCCTTTCTAAACCGGTGACATGTAAGGGAGAAGCCCATTGAAGATCTTGAGTCATGCTGCCATAACCAGGGAAAGATGATGCATTAGTGTATCATTATTAGTACCATAAATGTTATTTGTAGCACCTCCATACTAGGAACATTTTTATAGCTATGACATATAAAGCTTCCTCTCTGTGCTCCATTACAGAGACACCATCTGCGCTTTTTCATTATTAGTTGTACCCTTGCACTCAAGATCCATTTAAGGAAGCAAGGTTGTAAACAGCATTTGTATATTCATTGTCTAGAACTCCAAAAGAGGAGAACTGCCCGACTTTTCTCTGCATGACTTTGTACTTCTAATATTTGACAGCTTTCTAGTTTGTATTATTTCTGATAACATGTAGTGTCTTGTGCGTGATTTTTGCCACATTAACATAAGCAACTGGTTCTTTGGCCAAAATAAGCAAAATGAGAGCTTTTATTTATTTATTTTAAACCAAAACAATGTCTGCTTACTTGGCAATGGACCAATTGCCAATAGTCAAGCTGACTTTCATGGTTCACCTTCAAGGAGACCTGACAACTTAACTATCTAAAAATCAATTACTTGGTAATCTAATTTTACATAATCATGAAAATAAGAGTCTATTTTGTGTGAAATTATAGGTTTCTCACACTTAATAGAAACAAAAAAACTAAATTTTAAGGAAACCAATTTTTGTTTTAACCAAAGAGAGATGCATAGTGTAGCAAATTGCTCAGACACCCGTGCCTCCTCTCCATTACTTACTGGGCAACTCAGTCTTTCTGACACTCCGTTTCTTCATCTAAAAATAGGAATAATGAGACCTTACCTGCTGGAAGGCAAAGAAATGAGCAGATAAATTCTTGAGTTTCCTTCTAAATCTAATAAATTTTTATGTTTTTGTTTATGTTTATATGTATACAAGTTAATGTGTATACAATCTTCTGGAATAGTAGTAGTAGGCCCAGGTTGTTTCTACTGGAAGAAAAATATCCTGAATTTGATTCTGAGCTTTCTCTAAAGACATTTGCCAGCATTCCTCATTTGATAGAATATTAATGTACTGATCTTTTACAAGTGGCCAGGGAAAGTTATTCCACTTTATCATCTAACTCTATGTGCAGTACTTATGTGACATTATAAGAGGGGTCTTTAAAAAACAGAAGTAAGTGTGGAAGGTAAGCAGGGTCCTTGTTTGACTTTAGTATAAATGAGCCATGTAAATATAGAAGGTCAAGTCCACTTTGTTCACTATGGTCTCCTCCAACTCTAAAATTCTATGGCTCCATTTATCTGAAAAATGTTGAAATTCCTCTATATTGAGACACACTAGTTAAAGGAACACTTTACATCATGCTCAGAATCATTTTATTAGTTTTCAAGGACTGTACCAAAGTAAATACTCTTCAGTAAGATTTTTCAGTTAACAGCAAAATCAAAGTGTATTAAGTATTATATCATCAGAAAGAAAATAAGAATTGTTTATATACTAACACCAGGAAACTTTCTTTCCACTAGTTTCTGGAAGCCCTTTCTATAGGAAACTTTTTTGGAATATATAATATACAATTTATATTTTGAACCACTTAATCATGATCTTCCACCATAGCTTTGTAGTAAAGAATTGTAAGTATTCATTGGTTTATCCACATGGCTTCATAGGGTTTTATACCATCTGTCAATATTAAAGGATGGTACATGTTCTTGAGATTTCATTGCATGTATCCATTTTAAGTTAAATAAATTAAATTCCCTAACAGACTCAAAGATACAGAAATCGGAGTTATGGTTACCAAAAGGAGGGTAGTAGAGGCAGGGGTAGCAGCTGAAGGGCTGGGTAAAAAAGGTGAAGGGATTAAGTAGTACAAATTTGTGGACATGAAATAGTCACTAGGATGAAATAGGGAATATTGTTAATATTTTAATAACAATAACCATACATAACATGTATGGTGCCAGGTGGGTACTGGAAATATCAGGGGGACCACTTTATGAAGTATATTGTTGTCTAACCACTATGCTGTACACCTGAAACTAATATAAAATATTATTGAACGTAAACTGTAATTGAAAAATAAAAAATAAATTCACTTTTTTTTTGGTCCAGAGTATTCTTTCATTTGACAGCCATTTAGACAAAATTTTTCCATTAGTAACATTTTACTTTTTCCACTTCATGCTTAATGGATTTATATAATTTTAAAACATAATTGAATTCAACCAAGAACTAATACTACCTTATATTTAGTTACCAAAAGCTTGGCATGCACACGGACTCGCTTATTTTTTACTTCAACTTTTTCAGTTCCCCCATCCCCCCACCACAATTTAATTTACCTCCTTTCCAGGAGACAAGCACAACTCCAGTATTTAGATGTGTTTTACTTGGCTTTCTTTGTTTTCTGTTTTGTTTTGTGTTTGAATGCAGGATTATGTTTATACCCATCATCTTCTTTATCTCCTTTCTCTGTGCTCAATCTCCAATTCCATTTTTAAAATATTTGCTAATGCATAATTGTAATAAGAAACAGCAATGCGATTTTACAAATGTTTTCTTGCAGTCTGTTTTTAGCACAAAGGGAAATCACATTTACCTTAAAACTGAATTATCATGGCCAAAGGCCTTCCAACTGCAAGACTAAATAGCTACTAGTTACCTCAAAATATAAAGTATAGAGATATAATTTAAACTTCTTAATAAGTCTATTGAAATTCAGCACTGGTCATGAAAGAGCAGACTGTCCTCAGAATAGACAGCTACCCAACTGGCTCCTTGATCTATGGAACACAAACCTGTAACTGTGATGCATGGACCAAAGAACAATGAATGGTATATTTCCAGAGAGACAAATTCCATTAGTCTTGACTTGAATTATTTCTCTGTACTAACCACCAAGGACAATTAAACTTCTCTGATCTCAGTACACAAGAACATCAGTAAGAAATGGGTTTCAGATAGTTTCCTCTGCTGTTCCTTAATGGTCCAGACAGGTGGCAGCACCCACTTGTAGTGGTGATGATAGTAGTAGTAAAAATAATATGGTGTTTATTACTCTATGCAGTTACTTGAACCAAATTATCCCATTTACTGCTTATAACAAACTGGTATGCAGACTCACATATTATAAAATGAATTTTCTGAAATGACGTTAGATAATAGAGAATGTGAAGGAATTTTGTGTAAAGTCTTATACAAATTGTAATGCTTTCCTATTGCTGTTTCATTAGATAACTGGCAAATCATGGAATCCAGGCCTATCTGACCCCAATAAAATAAGTTCCCCCTTTTCATTAAGGAGGTAACTGAGGCACAGAGAAGTCCATCAATCTGCCAAAGGTCACATACCTACAGGTGATGGAGCCAGAATCCAATCCCTGTAGTGTGATGTCTGACCCTGTACTCCACTGCAATGCAGCGACAGAAGGCAGATTATAAAAGTACCAGGGCCTTGTAGGTAACAGGAAAATCCTCTTCTTACTCCCATCAATGAATAACTAAAACATCCTGAGTGTCAACAGTAAGATGCCATATCACATCTGAGTCCCTCTTTTTCTATTTCCACTGTACCTGCATATATAAGGGCTCTCCTTCAAGGTATTATGCTTCCCGGCAAAGTGACTTTTCCATGTTCACTGAGGCATAGCTTTGGATCTGAGCTACGCAACAGCCAGCAGCACTGATTCTATTAGCCACATACTGCAAGTTTGACCAGGAAGCTTGGGTATTTTCTTTCTCATTCAGGGAGTGGCGGACACCACTATAATCCATCCATTTGTTTCCAGTAGGTCATAGTTATGAAGGGTCAAAATGAAGATCAGGAAATCACTCCCTGTTATCAGCCATGCGGTCTTATACAAGTCAGTCTCTCTGGGACTTTAATTATCCCTTACAAGAACTAGGAGAGGGTGATTAAATTATAGGACCGGGTGTACTTTGAATCATGAACTCCTTTGAAGAGCCACTCTGGGGAAACTCTTCTGAGGAAATATCCAGAAAAACTGTGCACACACACAGATGCAGGCCCACATACCTCAGAGTTTGCATACTGTGGTATACTAGATAATGGCTTTCCCAAAGATGTTCATGTTCCAATCCCTGGAACTTGTGAATATTACTTTATATGTTATATGGCAAAAGAGTCATTGCAGACGTGAAGTTAAGGTTCTTGACGTGGGGATGTTACCCCAGACCATCCTGGTGGGCCCAATATAATCACAAGAGTCCTTATAAGAAGGTCGTAGGAGAAATCAGTGTCAGAGAAAAGGCACAGTGGCAACAGAAAAGGATTATCAAGGACTGTGAGAGTAACGCCTGAGAAATCAGTCATTACTGGCTGTGAGGATGGAGGGGGTCAAGAGCCAAATGGATTCTCCTCTGCAGCCTTCACAAGGAACAGCCCTGCTGATACCTTCACTGAAGCTGACTGAGACTTAGTCTGACCTGTGTTGCAGCAGAAACATATACCATTCTTACAGAACTATGAGATAACAAGCTTGCATTCTTTTGAGCCACCAAATTTGCAGTAGTTTGTTAGAATGGCAAGGAAATGAACACACATATCAGCACATTTCAGGAGTTCACAAATCCACAAGCCTGTTGACATCGTCTGAAGACCTCTTCAAGGCAATTTCTAGGACAAGCATTCTACAATTCTATATGTACTGATGCTCCTTCCTAGGCAAAACTGTTGCTGTGGAAAATACATGTATCTATAATGTTTTTAAGTATATAAAACAGTCTTCTAATATTTTAGTTTTGTCTAAAGTGCAGAGAGAACAGTTCCAACCATATTTTACGTTTTCATAGATGTCTCAGCCTAAACTACAAATAAAAATATTTTATTGTATTTTTCTCCTGTAGTTGTCAGTTAATGACATCAACAGAACTATGTATATTATGAACTATTTCATAATGTGGGCATATTACATTAGAAATGTGAGAAAACAAACATCAAAGGGATAAAAAACTAATTTGAGTCTATGTAGTGCTTTATTGATTATATAAATTTCATAATCAAGAGTAATTGGCTTTTTACTGCTATGTCTGCTTTCACTTTGAGATACTTTGAATTTGAGAAAGCTGCTTACAAAATGAGCGTCTTTACTCCAGTAATCATTAAATAGATCCTATGAGGTCTGTATTTTGTGGGGATGATAAAGCCCAAAGCAAAACCATCCAAGTAATTACTGGCAGAGCTAGAATAACATTTAGTATGCACTTCAGTAGTGCCTGCTGTCACAGCATTCTGTGTTTGGACTCATTCTCGGAATTTTCTGGGACCTGCTGGCACAGACCAGTTTCTTCCTTCCCGGTGCTCTCAGATGCTCTTCCCAGGGCTTGGCGAACCTGGGATATTCGGGCCAGAGGTGCCAACACTGTCTACAGCACCCAAACCCGTGGAGTGGCGGCAGGTCCTTGGCTTAGTGTGCCTCAACTGGCACCCAGCATGGGCGCCAGCACAGGCTGGGCACCCCTAATCAAGCGGCCAATGGGGGTGGCGTGTCGACTTTGTCTTCCAAAGCTTTCAGCTGGCCCTTCAGATTGCTGTCCTCTCTGGCCTCTGACAACGGAGATGCTGTTCTCTCAGGTTGGTCAAGCGCCTTCATTGCCAGTGAACGGGACTGCTCCCCTGGCTCCACCCACCCAGTGCCTGGCAGGTCCTCCCAGCTGGGGGTGAAGTGTGTGGCAGGCGGGGTGCAGCCGACATGGAGAGAGATCCCTTTCTAGGACTCACAGATGATGGCCTAAAGGAATGGAGATGAGGCTGTGTTGGAAGATATACAGTAGGTTTAAGGTTACTGAAAAACAAATGATCACTCCCATTTTCCTGCATACTTTCGGTAAGACTTAAAGAGGGTGCCTACTTTGAGAAAACCATTCGGAAGCCAGTATTCAGGAGCAGCATGATGGCTGATGGAGCTTAATGAGTAATGATGTGACAGGTAAGAACTATATACCAGGTGAGGCAAAAGTAGTTCTACAGTTGCTCATATGGAAAATAATAATTAATAAATAATACAAGAACAAACTTTGTATCATGTAGTCGCACCCGCAAATCTTTTGTTCCACCTTGCAGTTTCAATAGAAATTACAAAGAGCCAGGGCATTGTCAGTAGGAAGAGCGCCACTGCTTTTGTTATTAAATAATGGAAGGGGACAGAAAATAAGACAGAAAAGTGGGTGTGACATTGAAGGGCACAAAGAGATGGTTCTTTGACCTGAATAGAAAGAGATGGTGCATATACACTATGGAGAATATTCATTAAACAACAAAGACATGCTTAAGTGTCTTTGTCTGTAATTTTAAATCTTTATCCTAAGTCACTCTATCTTACATGTGCCCATGAATTTTAAAAAGACATCTTTTAAAATTACATAGAGAAGGATCCCACAGAAAGTGTGTCTAGGATCCTCCATACCATTAGGAGCATGTCTGACTCAACCCCTCACTAGTTTTTCTTGCAAGAAGCCAAGAAAGTGAATTGACTTAAATTTTACTTTTCCATTTTTAACCTTTGGGTTCATTTTTATTCTAAGTAATTCATATTGCATTTCACTAAGTTCATCTTTTTATCTTTTTTGCTCCTTCATTATCTTTCCTCCTTCCCCACCCTGTTCCTTTCAAATCCAGAGCAAAGGTTTTGTGTGTGCGCATGTGTGGGAGAGAATGAGAAAAAATAATTCTAGTGCAAACTTAAGTGTCAAAGGAAAACAAAGGGGTGGGTAGTACTGAGAAAAAGTGGTTGTAATTTTAAGTAGAATATCAGGGTAGCCTCTGACGAAAAAAGTGGTTGTAATTTTAATTAGAATATCAGGGTAGCCTCATCAGCAGTTTTATCTGAGGAAAGATTTGAGGGAGGTGAAGGTAAGCCACGTGCGTATGAGAGAAAGAGTACTGCAGGCAGAGGGAACAGAAAGTGCAAAAACCTTAGGAGAACCTGTCTCCCGTGTTTGAGGAACCGCAAGGAGGCTAGTGTGGCTGGAGCAGAGAATAGGTGGCAGAGCAATAGGAGGGAAGGTCAGAGAGGTAACAAGAGCTGGGTAAGGATCCGGGAGCCAGGTGCTATATATTATATTATAAAGACGTGGTTTTAATCTGAGATGATGGTGGGGGTGCAGTTATGAGCAAAGGAGTGACCTGACTTGATTTACAGTGCATCCATTTTGATAGATTATTATTATCAGTAAGGAAAACTTTTAAAATTTTTCTTTTCTTAAATTTATTTAAAGGTGTTACCAACTTTCTTGCCCAACTCATTATCCTCACCTGTTATTTTGGCCCCAAACCATCCTTGACTCCTCTCTCTCTCAGAACCACATAGAATCCTGACACAGTTCTACCTTCCAAGCATGTCCAGAATTTGATCACTCTCTCACCACCTTCACTTATACAGCTCTGATCCAAGTCATTATTGTCTTTTGCTTATATTATCACCATAGCCTCCTAATTGGTCTCCATACTTTCAGGCTTTGTCCCCCCCTTACATATATTTACACTTAGTAGCTAAAATAATGTAGTCAGATTGTCATTCTTCCAGCTAAACCCTCCAATGGCCCTATATGACCTGCAACCCCCAACCAGTTCCCTGTGCACTAGCCACACGGGCTTCCAAAATACCAAGTGGGCTCTCAATTTAGAAACTTTGCACGGTTCCCTCTGCTCAGAAGCTCTGTACCCAGTAACAAATCAGGCCTGAGGATACCGAGAAAAATAAACCCCTCATATTTGTAAAGTTACTTCATGTATTTTATTTGATTCTCTTCATCTTCAGAGGAATTTCTGTTTTCCTGAAAATTTAAAAGTTCCCAATCAACCCTTAATACTTTAAAGCATAGAAGAGTACCTGAATATGTTTTAATGTATTCCTCCGCTATAAGTAAGCAATACTTCCTAATACAAGATCAAGATGCCTTCTGGTCCATGGGCCATCATCATTTTAGAATGATAAGAGAAAAACTTCAGAGCCTCATTATTAGGGACCTTCTTATTAAAAACTGTTTCCCCCAATACACAGGTGAAACCAGCTTTAATACAGAAAACAAAACGAAGGAAAATATTTTAAAAGTGTAAAAAATCTCCTAAGGTTGGTGTATTTTCTTATATTTCCCGTTTATTTTGACTTAACCATGTTCATTATAAACATAAATAGTTCTTTCATAATCTTTTCATAAAAAGTAACATGTTTAATCACTTGCTTAGCTTTCGCCATTCTAGTTCTTTGAAATTTTTCTTTGTAAATGATGAGATGAACTTGGAGGTGACAGATGTATATATTTTAAATATATTCCTCATTTTTATTCTCCCAAGTCAAAAGTTCTGAACATTTTTCAGAATGACAGTTACCTTGCTTATCAAAACTGTTACTGAAATCCACACATACTCTTCATCAATTCATAGAACTTCGCAATCACAGACACCTCTAAATCCATACCCAGCCGCATTCATTTTACAACTTAAAGTGAAGCCTCAGCATCTGAATGTAGAACCCATATCTCCGATTTGCAGTTGATTTCTCTCCCGATGCCCGCGGAGTGGCTATTCAGGAGTTGGCCCGAACCTTCCGGATCCGCGGGACCCACCAGCACAGCCTCTGTCACTCTGCCCACTGGGGTTTACACAGCTCTCGTCTTCTCGCCCAGCTCCCACAGGATGCCTGGGACCTTACCGGTTGGCGAAGCGTACAAACCACCTGGACCGTACCCTTAGCCCACACTACAATGAGCATCCGTCCGCCCCACCGGGCCAGCGGGTCTCCACCCGGAAACCGGAAACGACGGATTTCTCAGACGCACCCCCGAGCCTCAACCAGCGACTCCCTCCAGCTCCGGAACGCGAGGCGGACTTTCAGTCCTGACACATCGAGCGCGGATGCCGCGCTGAGGGGCTCTTCACTCTCAGGCTCTGCAAAGCCCAGCGACCGGTCCTAGGTGTCTGTGACGAATGCCAGACCGAGAACGTTAACCATCCCTGCAAATCTTGAGCGGGCGTGGGATAGGCGGCTACACAGTGCCCCGCTGGCCAGGCCCAACGAGTCGAACGCGGAACCAAGGAGCTGGCGGAGGCTGGCGCGGGGCTGTTGCTCAGCAGGCCCGGCCTGGCTTTGGGCCCCTGGCCTCCTAGCCGGAGATTCTGCGCCTGCGCCCGTCAGGCTGCTGCCCGCTCCCCTGGCGCGGCAGTGGTCCCGGCTGCCACGCGCCGCCTGGGTGTCTGGGCGATCCATGGGCAGCAGCGAGGGCCACGATGACAGATTACAGCGAGGAGCAGCGCAACGAGCTGGAGGCTCTGGAGTCTATCTATCCGGACTCCTTCACAGGTGACTTCCGCGGCCGCAGCCCCGCAGTCATCCCGGGATAGAGTGGGATGGGCCGGAGCTGCCGCTGCCCTCGGCCTCCCTAGCCTCGATGGAAAAGGGGACAGGGAGGTTGCGTGGCCACCTGGCCCGCCATTCTCTCCTCTAGTTCTTCTCCCGAAGTGTTCAGGCATTTGTGAACAGCTCCACGGCTGTTGTGCTTGTTCTCTGAAATCTAGAAGTCAGAGCGAGGCTGGCGAGGTCCCTGGAGAGCGTCAGGCCTGGAATTGAGTCGGGGGCACTTTGGTTTCTGTGTAACTTACAGCAACCGGAGGTTGAGCGTAATAGCACGAAAATATCCTCCACGTGGGAGTAACCCTTCCAGAGCCCCAAAGATGTCAGTTTTCACCTTTATTCGGGTAGAAGATGTGTTTTCCTACGACGGTGTTTTAAAGATTATGGAATTCAGAGTGGTGTTTACCCAGAATCAGTTAGAGTAGCATTATCCCCGAAGTTTCTCGTTTTTTTTTTTTTTTTATCTTTTATTTTTTATTTTCTGGCATTCTGCAGAATGCCCGATGATGTGGCCCAGGGTTCAGTTCCACTGTAGATTCACAGGCTGTTAGGCAGGAAGGGATATTAGATGTCATCCAGCCCGGAATCCTCTTGCTGCAAGCAAGGTAATTAAGGCTCAGGAAAGAGGTGGCTTGCTTTGGGTCAGCCAGCAAGTTAGCGGCAGGACTGGTACCAAGAGTTAAATAGGTCTGAAACTCGTTTCCTGTTCCTTCACCTTCAGACACGTGGGACGTGGAATCTAGCTCCAGCTGGGATGAGGTGGAAAAGATTACTTGGTAGGTTCGGCCAGTGTAAAACATGGAGAAATTCATTACGTAAAGAAAGGCAATTCTTCTGTATTAAGTAATCCTCCAGGTGATTCTTAAACTGCAACAAGATAGCCGTGTCACAGTATACTTAGTTTTTGAGAAGTGATCAAATGAAACCAATAGGAGCTAGTAGAACCTAAGTTTGAGGGATTTCTGTTCCCCATACCTTTTCTTTGAGTGTTGTCTGTCACTGTCAGTATTCATAGTGTAAGGTATGTTATTTTAACTCATAAACTCCAGCCCCTCTCTGTGTAGTTTTCTTAGCTCTACCTTTGACCACTGCTTGCAATGGTAGCAAATTTTGTTCTGCTTTGCCAACAGGCAGATGTCTCTCAGCTACCCCTGTATAGCTGCAGTCCTGTTCATGTTCTCTCTCACCAGCAGTGCAGCTGTGCTGTGAGGATGTTAAGGGGATGAGTGAAGAGGGGTTTGAGAGTGTCGTTAACTGGGTGAGTGTGTATGGAGTCTGGCTCCCTTCTCTATCCTTGCTTATATGTCAATGTCTAAATAAAATAGAATATAGGGTCGGTTGTTGGATATATCCTTAATCTTGAGATATAGTCATTCCTTGTCTATTGGAAATGTAACAGGTATGGACACTATGTAGGCAGAATTAAGAAAACATAAGATTTGCTATTCTTTTTCTTTTCTTTGGACATAAAGTATCGCTCATTAAAGACTGCCCGTGTAAGCATTTATAAAAGTGATACATTTTTAACCCTGCAACAATCTGGTGGTTCTTTTGTATTGTACTAGATCTTCATACAATTCAGTGGCTGCAGTTCGTGTCCAAGGCAAAAGTGCTTGAGGATTCTTGAGACAGGCTAATAAAAGACAATGTATGAGTCTTTGACACATGCAAGTATTCTGTGGTATTAGCTGAACCCAGTCGTCTCTAATTCCTACCAGCATTTCTATAACCTTTGCAATAAATAAATTAAATTGAGAAGGCTATTTTATAGCCTTCTTTTGTGTTGATGATTTTATACTTTCATATTTTCATACCAGATTTAAGAAAGAGAGATTGCTTGTGTCAGTTTGCCAAGGAACATGAATTTGTAGTTTTCTAACTATATTTTGAACCACACTTAATATAGTGTTTTAATATTAGATTTGGTAAATGCTCAGCAGTGTTGATGAAGGAAGTAGATAGACCTTTTTTTTTTTCTTTTTTGGATAGATGGCTGAGTGCCTGACAGAAAAGCCTTATTAAGCACATCATGACCCCACCCTCTTGCAGATGCTGAAGAGACACAGTTGGGCCAGCCCACAGTCCTAGCTGTGTAGGCCTAGCTTAACTTCAGAATTGTTTGCTTGACTATTTTCAAAGAACTTTTGGTCCAGTGTTGTATTTGTCATGAGTTGTAACAAATCATAACACAATTTCTTCTTTTTGCCTATTCTGTAGCTTGACTGCATATTGATCCATCCTTCTAACAACTAGTCTTCCAAAATGCAGACTCACTTTCCTGATACCGCATTCTTCCTCAGTAGTGCTTCTAAGGTAGCAGCCATTTCTGTATCAAAGTCTCTGGCTATGGAAAGTTTTGTTGGAACAAATTGGTTGGCTTTGCGCTAGCCAAAAGTCAAGTTCCCTTAATTCTGTTTGGTAAAGAGGGGTATGTAATACTATATTTGCTGTGTCAGCACCTCTGGTAGCAGCCATGAGCCTTCAACATTTATAATTGCATCTTACAGATGGGGCAGAAATCTTGTGAAAGCAGTTTCTCTAAGACAGACACTTCCTAAGAAGCAAGTGGACTATTTTATGGGCTGTCTGGCTCTTTGCGAACGTCTTAGTGTCATTTATGTGTCCCTTTAGGGTACATTTCATTCAGTGCCTTGATAGTGTCTGTTCTTGACAAAAATCCTTAATTCTGTCCATTTGCCCTATATCACCTAACACTTCGACCCCTCTACTGGTTCATTCCTCTATGCACAACAATCTTACCCTTTTTCTCAAAAGTATTTGATCCACTTACATTGGTGCAAGTCTGGTATCTTTAGAAAGGGTAATCTTTCTTTCACTTACCCCAACAGGAATGCATTGGAACTGGGATTATTCCTTAATCACAATACAGCAATCGTTCATCTTTGCAAGTCCAGTTAAGTAGCTATCCTATCACTAGTTTAGTTACCTCCACGCTTGGGAATATTATCCTTTTCCATGGTTTTTTAAATACCCGTTTTAACATTAGGTTCTGCTGTGACAGAAAACCTCAAATAACAGTGGTTTTAAAAAGGTAAAGTTTATTACTCTTGCACGTAAAAGATAGTTGTGTAGCTCCTGTCCACAAATTCCTCAGGGATCCAGACTTCTAAGTTCTCTGTCACCTCCAAGGTGTAGTCTCACCTTCATGGTCAAGATGGCAGCATTTCTTTTCAGACAGCGGAATAGTTAAAGAGGAAAGAAAAAGTAAAAGACAGCAGTTTCTTAAGGAAATTTCCTGGAAACTGTCAAAGGACTTAATTTGCTTCCATCCCATTCATTGTAATTTAATTTGGTGAGACATTCTTGGAAGCGGGGCTGGGAAATGTATTTTTTCTTCTGGGTGGTCAGTGTGCTCAGTTAAAAATGGTATTGCTGGGAGAAAGGAAGAGTGGATTGGGGGAGATATTAGCAGTGTCCTCCAATATCCTTTTTCTGTTCCCAGTTCACGACTTTTTCTCTGTAATGGCTGCTTGGTGTGGTGGGTGTTACGAGCTCTGTGCTTTTACACAAATCATAAAACTTCTCTAATCCTCAGTTTCCATATCTGTTTGATGAAGAATAGTGTAAATGGAAATACTTTGTAACTGTTAAACAAATGTAAGATACTCTTTCCCAGAAATTTACTGTATTAGTTTCTGATTCTTCTAACATGGCTTAGTAATTCCTTGTCTTTATCAACGAACAGTTTTGATTTCATTTTCCTCAATTGGTGGCTGCATAGCCACACCTTGGAAATGCCATCTTCAAAATTTTGGCCTCTGAAATTCCTCTTTGTGTCCATAAACTTCGTAGCCCTACAGTTCTTTCATTCTCATGCTTTTACAGAACATGACTTTTCATCGTGATTTCTCATGGATTAATGGCTTATCAACTTCTTTCTTGTTCATCTTGCCTCCCTATTCTGTCTGGCTCCCAAGGTCAGGCAGTTAAAGATGTTCTTGCCACCATCCCCATAGTATCATTTACCAAATATTTACCAAATGTGATTGTTAGAAGCCCAGTCTATTGGGAAAAGACATTGGATAAGTCATTTATAACACAGTGTGATGAATCTTCCATGGAGGTGTATATTGGGTGAAGCTGGACCATAGCGGGGAGGTAAGGGTCTGGGTTGTTTTGGAGAACTGAAGGGTGATGAGGAGCTAACAAATGAATGAAACGTGAGGAAGGAGCACAGCATGTGCAGACACATGACTATGAGGGGGCAAAATGTGATCGTTGATCAAGTGGCTTGGTATTACTAGAATATAAAGTGAGAAGTGAGAGTTGTGGAAAATGAGACTTGACAAGTAAGCAGGGTCCAGATCACAAAGGGCCTTGTTAGGAATTTAGACGTGATCTTACAGGCCAAGGGTTCATTGCCCATTTTCTCCCCGCACAGCTGCAGAGACGGATACACTGTACCAGGGGTGTCCAACCTTTTGGCGTCTTTGAGCCACACAGGAATAAGAATTGTCTTGGGCCACACATTGAATACACAAACACTAACAAAAACTGATGAGCAAAAAAAAAAAAAAAAAAGGTTTTAAGTAAATTTACAATTTTGTGCTGGGCTGCATTCGTAGCCACCCTGGGCTGCATGCAGCCCTCGGGCCACGGGTTGGACGCCCCTGTTTGCAGACACTGCCATGTCAGACGTGGATCTCGCGAGTTACATAGTTCACAAATAAGATGGCCTTTTCTTCCGTTTATTTTTATCTCTCATGGCTGCTTCTTTTCTTTTAATCTCTGGCACTTTTTCCTCCTTTTATACTCCCCCCCCCACTAAATTTAGGTTTCCTTACAAAACTGGTGTTGGTCTTTATTTCTTTTTCCATTTTCTCTAGTGATCTCATCTAGTCTAATAGCCTTAGCCATTACCTCTCTGTGGATGATCCCAAAATTAAGTTCAAGCCCAACTGTCTTTAGTTCCATTTTTGCTCATTTCTGATTGCATACTCCATACTTCCAACTGAAACTATCCTGAGTCCTATAAATATATCATATTTGAGTTTCCTTTTTTATTTCTTGCATCTGTTAATGGTTCTACCATCCTCTGCTTGCAAATTTAAAATGTCAGTCATCACCGTGTACCCTGCTATTCCCATTGCTGCCAACCTAGTTCAGAACCTCATTGTCTTTGCTGGGATAATTTCAGTAGCTATCTAGTTCATCCTGCCTCTAGTCTTGTTTCTTTCCCATTTTATGCACTGTTGCTAGATTTATCTTCCTATGTTTAGAATACAGTCATGACCATATTACTGCTGCTAAAATAAACAAACAAAAACCCTGTCATACTCTGGCTGCTGTGTTACTCTTCTACATTTCTTTTCTTCGTCTGGATTTACCAATATGCCTTAATTCACAGACTAGCTCAAATGATTTCCCTGAAATTTCTCAACTGGAAAAAAAGCTTTTTTTTTTTTTTTTTTAATGAAACTCTACAGATTATTCAGCTCTGCCAGTTACTACTTGTATAGCCATGAGAAAACTATTTAAAAGCTCTTTTTTCTCAGTCTTACTATCTATAAAATTGGGATGGTACTGTATTTAATAGTTTCTAAGACATTTTTACATTTTAACATCTGTGCAATATGAATTTGTCTTAAAATCGGTTACATTCATAGTTTAATTGCAGCTTTTTTTTTTCTTAATGGTATATAATGTAGGGTGCATCTCATACTTGATGGGCTTTTAAGTTTGGTGAAATATGGCAACAGTATAAAATCATGGTCTTGGTGTGAGAATTAACAGATCTTTATGTAAATGCATAGCACTGCACAGGCACAAAGCAATGCTCAGTACATGTTAGCTGTCGTTATTGGCTGTTAGGTGATCCCTAACTTACAGCCTCATGAAGTCCTAGAAAATGGTAATATATTGGAATGTTATTGGGTTGAACCCTTATTTCTGTAGTTGCAATGTTTATGTTTAAATGGCATGTAAATGCTATTAATCATGAAAAGAAATAGGAATGAAATACATCAAATATGTTTTATGCACATTTGTTTTTTAAAAAAGTAGAGCCAATCATAAAAGCTTTATTATAATTTCCTTTCAGAGGCTTTTTCAGCATAGGCTGGCCTTCCTGAGGCCTATCAAAATATGAATCTAATGAGTCTTTTTATCTTTCCGACAGACACCTTTCAAGTACTCATAGATGTTCATCATCGTTTCAAGTACTTTTAAACCTCAATTAAAATGAGGGCATGTGTCTTAAAACTTTTATTGATAATGAATATTTATAAAGGCCTCAGAATTCCAAAGGAGGAAAAGCTGAGTAGCTTCCATTGCGACTTCTTCAGGGATCCCCACGTTCTTTCATTTTAGAAAGAGGCTGCTGACCCCGTACCACCCTTGACAGGGCTTTCTGGGCCTGAAGTGAGCGGCAGGTTTTCCTCGTGGACTCTGCAGCTGTCGTGGGTGGCTTCAGCTTTTCTTGTTCATTATTCTAAGGGTTCTCAGGGCAAGTTTTCTTTGTTTTTTGACTTCTTTTCATCCCATTAGTTTAGGTCTTTCATTGAGCCAAAATTTATTCAGTTTCTAGATACTGGCAGACACTGATCTAGGATCTCTCATAGCCTTAATAGTATTTTTGTGGGGGAATAGGTAATCAATATATAGTATCAGATATCAAGGTGTAAAATGGTACATAAAGCTTTCATAGTTATGTAAATATGTATTTATGTGTCTTTTGAAAAAAAATTTTATTGAATTTATTGAGGTGACAATCGTTAATAAAATTATATAGGTTTCAGGTGACTTGTCTTGCTTAACAAATTGGAAGTAATTTGATGTTATGATTTATGACCAATTTTAAAACTCCCTGAAAGATGGTAGAGGCTTGATAATTTGTAAAAAGATTAAAGTTTGGTTCCAGAGATGTTGTGTGAGAAAGAGATAGCTAGAAGATACAAACTCTAACAAGTTAATATTAACTGTTTGTCATGGGGATTCTGAATTGTATTTCAGAATACTTAAGTATAAATATTAGTGATTATACTGAATATTTATCAGTGGGTAGAAACATCAAACTTCTTTATCATTCCATTTGGGAATTTTTTTAAATATAATTTTCCATATATAGGTAGAAGTTTTATAATTATTTTAATTGATTTGATAAAACTCCAGGAGGTATCTACTGTAGGTAGTTCTTTCCACATTTAAGACAACCTGAGATTTAAACAGAAAATTCATGGATGTGTTTTATTATTTGAATGTCCTATTTAGTTTGTTTTTGTGGAAATAGAAATCCAGGCCTGGGGATCAGTTTCCCAGACTGGATAGTGATATTTGGCTAACTTAGAAAACATCTTAATAACTTAACCTATGTGTATATTTTCTTGCAGTATTATCAGAAAATCCTCCCAGCTTCACCATTACTGTGACATCTGAGGCTGGAGAAAATGATGAAAGTAAGTCTAGTAAAAAACACTTGTGGTTTTTCTAAGCCTCTCCTTCAGGAATTCTACTTATTCTACAGCAATTCTGTGCTGGGCATTGCAGGTATAGAGGTGCGAAGGGGCTGTTAAGAATCTGGTGTGAGTGCTATGTGTTTCTATTTGGTATACAATAAAAATATGACTTCTAGAGAAACAAAGTCAATGAGATATATTCTGATACAATAAGCTTAGCTTTTAAAAGTAAAACAGAAATGATAAGAGTACAGCAGATGAAGAGATTTTTTTAGTCAAACAAGACTTTGCATGCATATATATTTCAGTGGTTGTATGATATTTCATTAAGTGACTATTGTTTTTCCATGACTCTTTTTCATCTTTGGACATTTAGATCATTTACTGGATTTTTGCTGTTATAAATTAGTTTATATAAACACCTATCAGCATATTTTTCTCCCTCTCTTTAGGATGGGTATTCTACTGTTATTTAAATATATATTTATAGAACCAGGTAAAACCACTATTACATAACTATACAACTAAGGTAGATATACAAATTGAAATAAAGCAGTTACAAAACCAACAAATTAAAATTATTAAATAAAATAATTTAAACTTGGGCAGATGTTGGGGGAGCAGGGAGTATCTGAAGTTCATTTCTACTTTTAGTGCAGTTCAGTTTGATAAAAATATAATGTAAGTTAATGTTAACTCCAGGGTTTTTTTTTACTCCAGGGTTTTGTTTTTTTTTTCCTGTTAAACTAGTCAACTAAAATTCAGCCATGTAATACCAATGTTAGTGTTAATACTTGATAACTCTAAATCTGTTTTATACAATTGGAAATGATACTGGATATTTATATATGTCTAAAATCTCAAATACAACATGAGCAATTTTTATATTTTGTTTAAAATGTAAATATATGCATAGATACTTTAAAGTATCCTTTTAAAAATACGTTTATGATCATTAAATAAATCAAAATGGTAATAATGATCTCTTCCTGATGATGGATTATTATTGCTTTTGTTTTTCCTTTAGCGTATTATTAAATTTTTTTTATAATGAATGTCTGTTACATCACATAGTAGAATCAATAAGTTTTTTAAAGAAACTTTTTAGCAAAGTTTAATAAGAAAACAATGAAAAATGCCAAAAACACTCTAATTTTTTTATATCCATTGACTGATAAAATTCTTTGTTGGCATCCATACACAAAAATTAAAACAAAATATCAAACCAGCATATTTTAAGGTGTCGCCCCCCGCCCCCCCATAGAGAGAAATTTAGATTTGAATTAAAATAATCAAAATCAGGAAGTTTTAATCATTAAAATGTGAGTTACAAGAAAGGCATACTCTAGACAAAGGATTATTGTGGCTAATAAGTTATGACAGAAAATGTTTAGTATATCTACTTTATTTCAAATTGCTTCAGAATTCACCAGGCTGGGCTGCCAAGAGACAGATACTTTGCAATAATGTACATGTAAGAATCTTAGTCCCATATAAGTGTAAGATCTGTGAGCTGGCACAAGCCAAAAGAATGAGTGAGAATACATAGATGAGTCAGGTTAAAAGTTTCTCACACAATCTCTCAGACTGTCCACTTCAAAACATGTCATCTAGCAACCTCTTAGCAATCTTCTGCTGGCACCATACAGATAGAAATATCGATTCCCCTCCAGCTAAAGCCAGATCTTTTGCATTGGGAACTGACTTTATTAGAGGCCTGAAAATGAGTCTAAGATAGTACTTTATTTATATGTTATATTTAGTGCCCTTGTATTCATCTAAGGGAGGGTTTTAAAAAGAGTGTTAACTTGGTATTTTTTAACCTTGTTTCTCTTTGCAGGAAAATCTGTTGTGCTCCTTTTTCTTTTTTTTATGGACACATTGTAATTACCGTATTTTGCCATGTATAATGCACACCCATGTTTTGTGTGCATCATGCACAGGATTATTATACCCATTATTATACCCAAAGTATGTAATCATCATACCCATGTATAATGCATATCCTTATTTTTCCCTCAAAAATTTGGGCAAAAAAATGCACATTATACATGGTGAAATATGGTAATTACTGGTTCAACAAAGATGTTGATTTCTCTCTACTTTATGTTTTAAGATATTCTTATCAAACTCTTATATCTTTAGCTGTCCAGACTACCCTCAAGTTTACATACAGTGAGAAATATCCAGATGAAGCCCCTCTTTATGAAATATTCTCCCAAGAAAATCTAGAAGACAATGATGTCTCAAGTATTTTAAAATTGTTAGCATTACAGGTAAGGAAATAATGGGTTTTGTAAAGGTAGTTTGTTTTTTTTGCCCTAAGCATTATATATCAATTGCAAGTCAAAAAATACTATTAAATACGTCTAATTAGTACATTGAACAAGCAGAATTCAGTGTGTGTGCATGTGTGTGTGTACAAACAAATACTTTTCAACTTTGGGTAAGATTTGCTGTCCTTCTGCCTCTGTTTGAAATTCAGTCACCCAGGACTTTTAGGTAAAACGTCTGATAGGTGTAAGCACAGCTTCAGTATGGTTCTCGGAATACCCAGTCTCTTGTGCAGTTAAAAATCCAACTGAAAAGAATTAAAATTTCCAATCCCTGTGACCTGTTGCAGGCTAGTTCCCTACAATCTGAGAAGAAGACTGGTGATTGATTTATTTTTTCTTATGTTTCCTCCCTAAAGATTATAAACAGAAACAAGGGTTTATAACTCCTCTAAGAGGGGAAGAAAAAAATGGGTATTGGAAAGTTTTTATTTGGCACATCTGTTTTGGGATGGGATGCTGAGCTTTGCATGTATTTAGAGCTGTCTCTTGCTTGGGTGGAGAGTTTTCATGTGTTCTTCAGAGTAGGGAAATAGAGAAGACAAGCAAAACCTTTACCATATTAAAATCAGAACTTCTAGGTTTTTCTGTTTGTTTTTTCTAAGAAGAATTAGCAGAAAACATGTCTCCACCTTAAATGTGACTTGCATATTTCAAGGACTATTGGTCTTCTTAATGCTAATTTGTTTTATACTTTATCCTCACCTGAGGATATTTCTTTATTGCTTTTAGAGAGAGAGGAGGGAGAGAAAGAAAAATTGATGTGAAAGAGGAACATTGACTGGTTGCCTCCCACGTGCCTAGACTGGGTTGTATGCACCTGGACAGGGGATTGAACCCGCAACCTTAGGCATGTGCCCTGACCAAGAACAGAGCCTTCGGTCATGTGATGACGCTCCATCCAACTGAGCCACACTGACCAGGGCTTAAAGCTGATTTTTAAAAAATGCTACTATTATTGAGCTATGAGTGAAAGAACATGTATTAAACATGAATTTGTGCTGATCCTGAGTCCTGTACCCAGTATGAAATTATACTAATTCTAATACCATTTGGCATAACACACTTCATTTTAAAACATTGTAGAGAACCCAAGACAATATGCTATATTGGAGCAGTTATGTATTAATATGTTATTTGATCTGAATGATTTATTTTCTTTCATTTCATATTGCATTCATACTCCTTCCTTTAAAAAAAGTTTTAATTTCTTTCTAATCTTACCTGAGATCAGAGGTATTAAGAGAATATTTGTACTTTTTCTCTAAAAATAGTTGTATTTTTAATTATCAAAATAATAAATTCATATTACAGAGTACTCAAGAAAATACAGAAAATCACAAAAGGAAAACAGAGGTTATCAGAGTGTTAATCTCACCGACCAGGTATAACTGCCTGTCAACATGTGGTGTGATAGAATTCAGATTTTTCTTAGGCTTATATTTATATTTCCTCTTCCATCCCAAGTTAGATTATTCTATACATTATGTTTTATAACAACCTTTTTTAACATTACAATATATGTGGACATCTTTCCACTTTATAAGCATATTTGTAAATCAGTATTTTTGATAACTGCATGGACTTTCACTGTACATATGTGTAATTACACACTGTTTTTGAAGCAACTTAAAATTACTTCTCATTTTTGCCTTCTCTAATATATAATTCTTTGGGAGAAGGCAGAGGTGTCTCCTCTACCCTAGCAGTGTGAGATCCAAGCAAGATCAGTGACAGCTTGTTGGCCGCCACGTCAGAGAGTAGGGCTGCAGACATCCTCAGTGCCAGGTGTTGACCCTTCTTTCACTTTGAGTTCCCAGATGGAGGTATAGGTAAACACGCTTCGCCTCCTTGTGTAACCACAGAGAGAATTACAACTAGACCTCAAAACAACACCCAGAACCATCAGAAAATTGAGCTGTATGGAAGTCTGACAACCAAGGATTTAAAAGAAGCACACTCAGCAGCCAGGTGGGAGTGGAGAAGATGTAGCAGCAGCAGAATGGGTGGTCCCGCATTCACATATGGTAGATAAAAATTGAGTGGGATACCTTGGGAGCAATGGTCCCAGCCCCAGGCCAGACTGTACAGCCCAGGGTTCCAGCTCCAGGAAGATAAATCCTCTTAACTTCTGACTGTAAAAACCAGTGGGGGTTGGGACGGTGGAAGAAACTGCTGGATAATCAGAAGGCTCAGCTCAGAGGACCTGCAAGGACTCAGAATGCATACAACCCTCCCCCCCGCCCCCAGGATTCTTCATCAAGGCAACAGCTAGAAGAGCACCAGTTGCACAGGGTGGGTGCCAGGCAAACCTCCAGAAGCCAGGCAGTGGCATTGTGCTTTCTCCAAGCCCTCCCCTGACACAGAGCCACAAAGTGGTGAGGTAGGTTGGCCTGCCCTAGCAATTACTTAAGCTTCCACCCCACACAATTTCTAGGTACCTTTTCTACAATAGGCCATGCTACTAAGATAGGCAGCCAAAGCAGCTTTTCCTAACAACAGAAACAAACACAGGGAGGCTGCCAAATTGAGGAGACAAAGAAATAGCACCAAATGAAAGAACAGAACAAAAACTCAGAAAAAGAACTAAATGAAACAGAGATAACCCACTTATCAGATGCAAAGTTCAAAACACCAGTGATCAGGATGCTCAAAGAACTCACTGAGTATGGCAACAAAATAAAAAAAGACCCAGGAAGAAAAGAAGGTTACACTAAGTGAAATAAGGAAACATCTACAGGGAACTAACAGTGGAGGGTATGAAACCGGGATCAATGATTTGGAACTTAAGGAAGAAATAAGCATTCAACCTAAACAGCAAGAATAAAAAAGAATTTAAAAAAATGAGGATAGTATAAGGAGCCTCTGGGACATCTCCAAACATACCAACATCCGAATCATAGAGACGCAGAAAGGAGAAGAGGAAGAGCAAGAAATTGAAAACTTACTTGAAAAAATAATGAAAAAAAACTTCCCTAATTTGGTAAAGGAAATAGACATACAAGTCCAGGGAGCACATGGAGTCCCAAAAAAGACCACCTCAAGAAGCATAATTAAAATGCCAAAGGTTAAAGAAAAAGAGAGAACCTAAAAAGCAGCAAGAGAAAAACAGAAAGTTACCTACAAAGGACTTCTCATAAGACTAGCAATTGAATTCTCAAAAGAAACTTTGCAGGCAATAAGGGACTGACAACAAGTATTCAAAGTGATGAAAAGCAAGAACCTACAACCTAGACTACTCTCTCCAGCAAAACTATCATTTAGAATGAAAGGACAGATAAGAGTGCTTCCCAGACAAGGTAAAACTAAAGGAGTTCATTACCACCAAGCCAGTATTACATGAAATGTTAAGGGGACTTACTTAAGAAAAAGCAGATCAAAACTATGAACGTTAAAATGCCAACAAATTCACCACTATCAACAACTGAATGTATAAAAACAAACTAAGCAAACACCTGGACAGGAACAGAAGCATAGATATGGAGACCATTTGGAGGGTTATCAGCTAGGATAGGGAAGAGGGAGAATGGGGGAAAAGGTAAAGGGATTAAGAAGCATGATTGGTAGGTACAAAATAAGTGGGGTGGGGAGGGGAGTTAAAATAGTATAGGAAATGTAGAAGCCAAAGAACTTATATGCAAATACCATGGGCATGAACAAAGAGGGGAGATATTTGGAGGGATTGGGGGTACTGGGCGGATGAGGCCATAATCAATAAAATATTTTAAGTAAAAATATCTAGTTCTTTGAATATTTTCATATATTACTATTTGTAAATCCTTACAGCAGAGTCTCCTTTGAATTTGTAGTACATGGCACATAGTAGACACTCAAATATTTTTTGTTTTTAATTAAAGAATGAGTTATTGATGAAAATACTAGTCCAGTGTTTTCTGGAAGATTTCTAGATTAAAAGGTATGCATACTTAATGTCATACATACTGCCAATTTGACCATCAAAATGGTTGTGCCAAATTATGACTTCACTATTGCCATTGAAGGTATCTGCCCACTTTTAGTATCCTGGGTATTTTTATTTAGAAAGAAACAAATGATGACAAGGTTAAGATAGTATAAAATCGTAATTTCAAATTTGTTAATAACTAGTGATGTGGAAATCTTTTCATATGACCTCTAGTTGTCTGTTTTCTGTATGAATGATTCTTTTTTGCTTTTTTGTTGGAATACTTAACTTTTTAAAAAGAGATGCTACCAGATTTGCTGTTGAAATACAAGAGGTCTGTCCAGAATGTATCCAGCCATGCACTATGAAAAACAGGTGTTTGTTGAAGAAGATACAAGAAACATTGTACATAGGAAAATGGCGCCTCAGTCCCCTTCACAGTAGGCACATTCAGACCTCACACAGTTCTCACAATTACCATCAGCTGACCTGTCGTATTATCCTGAATCTCCCTGATGGTGTCTGAAATCTCTTCCCTTTCAAAGGTGATTTTAGTTTTGGGAAAAGCTAGAAGTCACAGGATACCAAGTCTGGGCTATAGAGGGGCGAGTTACCTTTGTGACATGATGTTTTGCCAGAAAACTGCATGAGACGTGATGCATGAGCAGGTGCATCATCGTGGTGAAGCGGCCAATCACCAGTTGCCCATAGCTGCAGCCTTCTGAATCATCCAAGTAGTTTCTGTGAGGGAACGTCCAATCTTACTGCAAAATTTGATGCAGATACATTGTTCTACTTGCTCAGTTCAGTCACTTTGAATGTGGTGGCCACATGGTATACGTTCTCACTCACTGCCATCTACCACTCCCACAAACTCATACAATGAAGTCCTCATCATTCATGCATTAACATTCCAGTCCACTCTCCTTGGCTGCCAGGTTACATTGATGTCATGCAAACCATTCTTGTTATACTGGTCTTTTTCTGGACAGATCTTGTAAATCAAGGGTTAAGTGAAGTAGTCAAACCAGACTCTATTGGCACCATCCCACCTCTCATAGATTTTATACTCTGATGAGGAGAATGGACTAGCAAACTGAATATCATTTTCCTGTATGAAAAGTGCTCTGATGGGGAGGTACAGGAGTGAGTGTATGAGTGCATGTAGATTTGAGGCACTGGAGAAGCTTCCTAGAGGAAGCAGAGACCTGAAGAAAGTGTTTGTCAGGCAGAAGAGAGAGAAGAGTTTTACAGGAAAAGAACAAGCTTGTTAATGGGCATGGGAGTGAGAGAGAGAAGAGAGATCATTGTTTACTTCCAGAACTCTCAGTCACACTAAATCACTTGAGCATAGACTTTGAGGTTTGTGGTTATATTGATGCAATTAAAGAGCTTAGAACTGGGCCACACAGCAGGAGATGAGTGGTGGGCTTGAAAGCAAAGAAGCTTTGCAGGTATTACCGCCTGCGCTCCGCCTCCTAGCCTGTCATTCCCTGCCCCCCTGCCCCCCCCTGCCCCCCCCCCCCGCCACATCCAAAGAAAAATTGTCTTCCGTGAAACTGGTCCCTGGTGCCAAAAAGGTAGGGGACCACTACTTTAAACTGTTTAAAAAGTTTGATCTTGCTCCTGATTGGTTTGGGAAGCTATGAGGGGTTTTTAAGCAAGAGACTTAATAAATCAATTTTGTGTGTGTATTGAATGGTCAGAGAAGTTGATCAGGTTTTTAGAAGACCACTTAGGAATTTCTTGTGATATTTCAAGCTAAAGATGATGGTGTTTGATAGTGTTGATAGAGGACAGCAGGCAAATTTAAATAGTATATATGAATAGGTAAGAGACAGTGATAGAATTTAGGATGGGATAGGAGTGGTCAGATTGGGTACATGGTGGTATGATTCTCTGAGATGCAGAACTTAGAAATAGGTTTTGTGGAGATGATGGATTCCATGTTGAGATGCCTATGGGACATCCAAGTCACTGTCCAGTGGTCAGATTTCATATGGGTTTGGCACACAGGATAGAGGTTTTTTTAGAGTCAGATTTAGGATGGTTAGCATGGAAACACACAGAGAAGCTCCACCGCAGAGGATTATACGGGCTAGCTTGAAGGCTAGTCATCAGGGAGGGTCCAGGAAATGAAATACCTATTCAAATACTTCTGAGGCCAGTCCTGTCAAAGAAATGCTAGGAAATTTCTTCAGCTGCTGGGACAGAGATTCTGGCATGTAAATTTTGGATTTTTATTTTTTATTGTTTTTTGTCTTGTTTATCCACAGAAATAAGATAGGGTTCAAACCTATCTTATTTCTGTGGATAAACAAGGTATCTTTTTATTTTATTCTGCCTTCAAATTACCAACTTCCAAAAAGCGTTTGAATTATAGCCCTTTCATGAGTCAGAGATACTTTCTATCTGGCTTTGAATCATTTCAAATCAAAAGAAAAAAAAAAAGGGTAGCTAAAGGTAAATCACAGAACTACCTACAGTCTTTATTATTGTTTTATGTTAGTTGCTGTGGCCTCACTGTTCAGGTCATTGTCGCAGCTGTTAAAATATCCAAGGAACTGAAGTAATGAAAACATACTTGAGAACCGATGTTACTAGCTACTGTGGGAAAAGTCTTTTGAATTCTATCTACATTTATGATTATTAAACAGAATTTATTGACATATCTGCTTTATGTTAGGTATAACAAATTATATGACTTCTTAAAATTTAAGGTGTTGTTATTGCCATATATGTTCAATTTTTAAATAATCATTTACCCAAGTGTCTGAACAGATGTGTAACTGAATTAGTGATCACATCATGAATGTATGGAATTTAGTTGTTCTGCTGAAACACTTTTTTTATTGCTTAGTTGTTTTTATTTGTCTCAGCAGTGTGCTTCTCACTACAACCTCAGTTTTTTTTGTTACTGGGTTTTTTTGTTTGTTTTGGTTTGTTGTTGTTTTTTTTTTTTTTTTTTTTTGGTTACATAGGCAGAAGAAAACCTTGGTATGGTGATGATCTTTACTTTAGTGACAGCTGTGCAAGAAAAATTAAATGAAATAGTGGATCAAATAAAAACCAGAAGAGAAGAGGAAAAGAAACAAAAAGAAAAAGAAGCAGAAGAAGCTGAAAAGGTATATTAAAAGCCATGTTTTCTTTCTCTAAATCTGTTTTTTTTTTTTTTTTGAGTTGTTTGGGATTTCCTGTTTTTGGTTTTTGTTTTTGGAAACTTAAGTAATTTTTTTGGAAATCACAAAAATAAATGAAAATAAATTTCAGTAAAACTTTACTAAGTAAAATAAAATCTTAGAAGTCCCTCATTTAGTTGGTGGTATAACACAAGTGATGATTAATAATCAGTAAATTTAGTAAAGCTCATGCAGGTAAGATCAAGAAATAGAAATTATTTCACTTACAGTATCGAGGTGAGAATTAATAAAACTGCCACCAGAGTATTTTAAATATAGTCATGCACTGCTGAACATGGATATATGTTTTGAAAAATGCATTGTTAGGCAATTTCATTGTGCGAACATCATAGAATGGCACTTACACAAACCTAGATGGTGTAGCTTGCTACACATCTAAGCTATAGGTATAACCTACTGCTCCTAGGCTACCGCCCTGTGCAGCATGTCACTGTCCTGAATACTGCAGGCAGTTCTAACACAATTTGTGTATCTAAACATAGAAAAGGTACAATAAAAATGTGGTATAAAAGATTCAAAATGGTACACCATTAATGGAGCTTGCAGTACTGGAAGTTGCTCTGAGTCACTGAGTGAATGACAAGTATATGTATGAAGATCTAGGACATTACACTACTGTAGAATTTATAAACACTGTACACATAGGCTACACTAAATTTATAAAACAGCATGAGATTAAATCAAGCGCAAGAGAAAATGATGCAATTAAGGCACTTGGTAAATACAGATTATGAGGATGCTACTGACATAACATGGCATACCGTTTTACAGCCAACTTTTTATATAAGCAGAAGGAGTACACTCTAAAATAACAATAAAAAGTGTAGTATAGTAAATACATAAACGAGTAACATGTTTGTTAATTATCATTATCAAGTAGTAAATGTATTATATATAATTGTATGTGCTTTATTTTTTTACAACTAGTAGCACAGTAGGTTTGTTTACATCAGTGTCACCACAAAACACATAAATAGTGCATTGCCCCATGGTGTTTGGACAGCTGTGATGTCACTAGGCGCGAGGAACTTTTCCCATTATCTTATATGACCACTGTCGTTATAAGTGGTCTGTAGCTGACTGAAAATTGTGTTGTGGCATGTGACTGTATTTGCTAAAGTAAAGAAAACCTCAAATTCTGAAATTTAGTAAAAAGATAAGCTGTGATGCTAAGTGTTGTAAATTGATATATATTCAAAACATTAATAATGACAGCAACAACTTTCTTCTGACCAGTGAACATCAGTGGAGATATGTGGCATATTATCTTTATTTTTTTGTAATAAAAATTATAGGTGGACTTTTCCAGAATAAATTGCCAAAACCAATGAGAGTAGCCAGTGTAGGCAGAAATCAGATTAAGTACTTCAAAACTTGAAACAGTTTATCTGCATCTTTCCTGTAAGTGGCTATATTCATTTGTGTAGAGGATCATTAGGCTTTATTTTTTTAAAGAGTTGTCTCATTTATCTGGTGACATGTTTTGTTTTTGTTTTTATTTTTCCCCCAAGCAATTATTTCATGGCACTCCTGTTACGATTGAGAATTTCTTAAATTGGAAGGCCAAGTTTGATGCAGAACTCTTGGAAATTAAAAAGAAACGAATGAAAGAAGAAGAACAAGCAGGAAAAAATAAATTAAGTGGTATGACTCACCCCTATTTCTATTCCCCCAAAACCCTTCTGCATTACTTCTGATAGAGCAAGAGGATCATTTGGACAGATTTCTGTAGAGATTATTATACTTGGGTGTCTGGGGAAAAAAGAGAGAACGTTCTCTCTGCATGGTGATATATCTTCACATATAATTATAATTAATATTTATGGCCTATCTTTGATAGAAATATTACAGTGGATAGACTTTGAGATATAGCCCCCATGACTTCCAGGAGTACAAGCCTTAGAAGTGATAGAGTCGAGCCCATTTATTTTTCTAGGTCTTTGAAGCAGACTAGGGTTATCACTTGTTCCATTTTAATCCAAATATTTCCTATGCCTCTTAACTGAGTTCATAAGTTTATTGAAATTCACAGAAAAACAGGTTTTTAGGCTTGTTTTCTTGGGTTATTTCATTTTTTTAATGGATTGTAGAGAAGATGAAGGAAAACTATGCTGTTCAAATTAAACATATTTATTTCTTTTAGGGAAACAGCTATTTGAAACAGATCATAATCTTGACACATCTGATATCCAGTTCTTGGAGGATGGTAAGATAACAATGGAATTCCACGTGTACATACTGTGTTGTTTTTAATATTAAACCATGAAAATCACAGTGACAACAATGTAAATCTTCCGAAGGGTATAAAAAAAATACATTTTGAAGAGTAAATTCTAATGTTTGATAAATTTATACATTAAAAATACCAATTATGCTTTAAAGTTTTCTGATAACTTATGCAAAATCAAAGATAGCAACAGATGAACAATTATGATCATTTTAGCCTCTAACAGCTTGTAAACGAGGCCACTGTGACTTAGGTGACCTGTTTCCCTCAAATTTCTATCATCATAAATGTATGGAAACTATATTCCATGGTCTATCATGGAGCTTTATAAAAACCTCAAATCTGGAATGCTTCTTGCCCCCTAACCAAAAATCTTACATTTCATACCACTCTTATTATCTTTAGAGCATCTAGCCCCTTACTCTTTCCTTCTCCTTTCTACCCCAATCCTTACCCTCTTTCAGTCTTCCATATCTCCATTGTCCATATATCCACAAGTATTTAGTGTATACCAGTTATAAGCTAAGCACTGTCCTGGTGCTGAGGATACAGCAGAGAACAGCATAGAAAAATTTCCTGCCCTCACAGAGCTTAGGGCCTGCATGTGTTTCTTAAACTGTACTCTATACTGCCACACCTCCAATGGCACCCTTAATAGTTGTACACTTCATTAGCTTTCTGTCATGCCCGTTTTACCAGCTGGGGATCCTCTGTCATCTGGCCCTTCACCGTTGTTGCGGACTACCTGCTGCAGAAGGTTAAGAAGCAGTATTGATGTGGCTGACTGTTAAGTTTCTCTCTTCGTTCTTCTCCAAATCTTTGATTTGAGTCCTGGTTTCCTTCCCTTCACTGTTGATTCCCTGTATATTTCACTGTATTTCACTTTGCATAGCCTTCACTTTTTCCTCTATTTTATGACCATACTCAACCATTTATGTGAGCATCCTAATTACCAGTGTCTTGAGCTCTACATCTGATATGTTGTCTGTCTCCTCGTCACTTAGTTCTTTGTTTGGAGTTTTGATCTGTTCTCTCATTGGGCCATATTTCTTTTTCTTGGTGCACCTGTTCCCTTGTAAGGGGCAGAGCCTTAGGTATTCGCCAGGGCGGAACAACCCATTTCTCTGTGTTTTGGCACTGTATGCGGGGGAAGAGTCAGAGAGGGAACAATGCCCTTTCCTAGCTTGCTCAGCCCTCACCCCAGTTTCCATCACTTCTATCCCTTCCCAGAAGCTGATTGTGTCCTTTCAGGTGCTGATTCCCAAGTGTGTGGGTTTGTGTACATCCTAGGATCCCGTGGGACTCTCCAAAGGACTACCCTGTGAGACTGAGAGTTTCTCCCACTGCCACAACCCCCACAGGTTTTTACAGCCAGAGTGTTTGAGTCTTTATTTCCCGGCACTGGAACCCTGGATTGCATGGTCTGTCTAGCTCACCAGTTGTTCTTCCCGGCTTATCCACACGCGAATGTGGGAAATCCCATCTACCAGCCGCCACCTCACCTGCCCCAGTCATCAGCCTCTGCCCTGCCCTGCTTCCTCCTTGCCCGGCTGCTGGTCTCCTTCCAGTCAGGATGAATGTTTCTTCTTTAACTCCTTGGTTGTTGGACTTCATGAAGTTTGATTTTCTGGCGTTCTGGTTACAGTTTGTTTTTAAATTGGTTGTTGTCCTTCTTTTGGTTGTACGAGGAAGCAAAGTGTTTCTACCTATGCCTCCATCTTGGCCAGAACCGTGTGTTAGCTTCTTAAATTACCTCTCTGCACTAGTTCCTTCCTCCTCCTAGTGACCTTACCTATCCTATTGTCACTGCCTCTGAGGTGGTGTTTCTAAAACCACATGATATTTCTTTCCTTAAAATCATTTGTTGGTTCTCTACTGCTTGGAGGAAAAGGTTGACCTACACAATTCTTTAGTCTTTCTTTGTTATCACCAGATATTTTTCCTCAAGAGTCTTACATTCTAATTAGAAGTATACAATGTCTTAGCTTTTTTTCTCTGTCTTTACATATACTACTGCCTCGAATTGCTTCATTCTGGCCTTTTCCTGGCAGATTCAAATTTGTGGTGAAGGTATTTTCGGGCTCATCTGCTCTGTGAAGCCTTCGCTACCCCTTTCAGATAGACAGTCATTCTTTGGCCTGAACTTAGCAAATTGTATTTGGTTACTGAACAGCTCATATGCATGAAGCAAGACTTATTTTTATTGAGTTGAATGTCAGTAGACTATAGAATCTGAGAGGGAAGGAAGATGAACAATTTGGGGTGATTTAAGAGTATTGTAATATCTTACCTTTATGACCTTTAGACGAACTGAAGGATGTAGATATTTAAGGCAAAACCTGGGTATTACTTCCTACAGGTTTAGATATTTGGAATCTTGGGAAGGCATTCCATTGGTAACAAGGGGAACTGGGTGATATTGAAGAACAAGTTAAAGCCATCAATTAAATAACTAGTTGAGCTCTAATGATATACATATCTTCCACTATTGGAAGAGAGAAACCCCTGGTTTGAGGCCCATGGTCAGTGATAATCAACTTTATATAACCAGTACCTATCATCATCCTCAACTTGTCACATGGCACGCCACATCATCAGTAATTCATTCTAGAAAGCCTTTTTTATGACTGGAGGCATGAAGTTTTTCTTAAAATGTGCCTGTCTCCGCTCACCATTACAGACCATTGGTATGATTGGCAGTAGTAGTTTAGGATTTTGTCACCTCCTGTGCACATGGAAAAGTTTCTGTTTGGTACTGCCAATGAATTATATCTTTTATTCCTAATTGTAAGACTGAAGGTGAAATCTTTTGTCTTTTTCAGCTGGAAACAATGTGGAGGTAGATGAGTCTTTGTTCCAGGAAATGGATGACTTGGAGCTGGAGGATGATGAGGATGATCCAGACTACAACCCTGCCGACCCAGAGAGCGACCTGACCGATTGATGGGCCATCCCCATCTGCAGAGAGGCTTGACTGCCACAGCATCTGTGGCTATGCTGAGAGGGTGTTGATTTTCCTTTCTTTTTTCTAAGAAAAAATAATTTTCAGGAGAATAGTCTTCTGAAAGCTTCATCAATGAACTTAATAAAACTGACCTTAAAATTTCAAATATAAAATGTTCAGTTCCTCTTACTGGTGGGAAGAAGGTCACACATTTAAAATGATTTAGTGGTGGAGAGAGCTGCCTGTAACCTCAGACTTGGAGATGGACTGCTGCTGAGCTCAGGTGTAGTTATGTGCAAGTAATCAGAATAACTCGGAATTTCTATGCTGGAGATGGTGGTGGCTTTTGGATTCTAAGTGCTGTCATTCATATAAAATACTATATGACTGAGGTGAATAGAGCATAAAACTTTTTGAATTCTAGCCTATGGGCATGATAAGTTTAAGTCTTTACAAAATGAGAAGTTCATGTAATAGTCAGAAATAAAATAGATTTTAGTCGTATGGTAGTATTTGAATCAGAACAATCTGTAGGAGTTATTAAAGTGTATACTTGGCCCTTCTCAGTTTAGGTTAATAAACACTGAGCATCAGTCTGAATATTAAAACAGTGAAATCTCATGCCAGTGACTCAGGTGATTGTTATACATACTGATTAAGAACCACTGTCTTACAGTTATGAAGTCTACATGTTGTCATGTTCCCCTGTGTTTCTAATTAATCAGTCTGAAGGGGTGTGAATTCTTGGTGTTGTACACTGTCTGCAAGAGAACCACACTTCGCATCCATGTATATATCAGAATAATTTGGAATGATTGACTTGGGGATTCTAGGCAGGAGAGTCAGGCTTCATGCAAGGTCACTGCTGATTTAAAGTACTGAATCTAAGCCACAAAGAGAAATGATTTATGCTATTGCAAATAGCTGCCTCCATTCAAAAGTACATATACCACGTACATGCAAGTACAACAATATCAATCCCACATTTATATTTATATGGAGTTAGACCTTATGATTAAAATCAAATAAGACAAAGGTATCATTAAGAAATTGAACACTTTTCCCCAACCTAATCCTAATCCCGACCAATACAAGGGACTAGTAGTCATGTTCAGTTATGTTCAGCATTTCTATGCTGAGAGAAGTCCGAAAGTTTGTGTTACGTAAGATTTTGCTTTTCCTAAGGAAAGATCCTTTTTGAAGCCAATCAGCAGATATGTAAGAATCTAAAAGAACACTCTGAAGTTAAGAAAAGCAATGAGGTCAATGAAGACTTTCAAGTGTCAAGAATGATTCCACCCCCTCACTTTCACCCATGATTTTTTTTTAAGTTTTACACACTTTCCACAGGTATTGAATGGACCACCACCTTTGTCATTAAAGAATGTCATTTTCAGAATTAGGCAGAACCTGATGATATAGAAATAAAGACAGTCTGGTTCTAATGATATTTCCAGGTATTTTCATCCAGACGTAACTGATAACTATACTGTTGACTTTGTATTCTGCAAATTAACCAAAGACTCTGGTTCTCACACGGGAGCATATATCTTACCCATGGTAAGTGCCTCACTGTCCTCAGCCTAGTCCCTGGCAGTTCAGAAAGGCATCAGGGTTCCCTGGCCTCCATCCCCAAGATCATTAGGAGGAAAGGTCTAAAGGTAGAACCATGTGGAACTCTCAGGTAAGGTGGTCATCTTTGCATAAAAGTGCTCAGTGGACAAGCAAAATGAAACCGTACTATTGCCAACCCCAAGCACAGTTAAGCTAAAGTAATTAAGGGCCTGAAAATACTGGAGTGTGGGCTACTGCCACATAAACCCAAGATGTTAAAAATATGTTCTTTGTTTTGACCATACCAGTCCAAATGTATCTAAATGGGATATAATTGTTAAATTATACTCCAATTGTGCTGTTAAAAACAGATTGATTCTCATGGAACTTAGACTATTTTGAAAATATGAATCAGAACATTTTTCACATACTTTTAAGTTAGGTTTTTTTTAACTGCCTTATATTAATTTGTATCTTCTGACATTTAAATTTTGTTTTATAAGATATCTCTAAAAATCTTTAAGACATCAGGATCTGTTACTAAAAATGTTTGTTTTACAAGGCAGATATTGATGCTAAGTCCTTTGAAAATGACATTGAAGGAGAGTTACAGACATTCTCAAAGGTGTGCATCTGACGTCTCTGCTTGTTATTATCAACTAACCTTACAGGATTCTACATATTTGGGATAGGAAATGTCTCTGCACATGTATTTTTACAGGGGAGGGTTGGGATTTCTGTTTCTGATATTGGTGCTCAATTGACGATGAACTAGTACACATTGGTTGATCCTGCCCCAGAGAGCTTGAGCACAAGAAGAAAAACAAGATTTAATATTTTGTAATTAACATTTTAGTTCACTGCTGAATATAACACATTGCTTAGCATGAAAATATAGGTGGTTCTGGTAAAAAAAAAAAAAGAAAAAGAAAATTGGAATAATAGGCCCTTGTACTAACTGTGGAAGCTTGAAAAACATTCACTTAATCTCTGATCCTCAATTTTGCCTGTAAGGGCGAGATTATAGTCCTTAGTATGCAAAATATATTTAAAAGGAAAATTAATAAACATGTTTGAAATTGGTCAGTTACCAGCCAAGTTCTTCACAGGGCTTTGTCCACAACTCTCTCACACCTTCTGCAGTTCACTGTATTCCACCTGCCCTACACAATCAAATTATGGTGAAGGAGTATTTATATTGCTATGGGCCAATATTTGTGTCCTCCCATAATTCATATGTTGAAATCCTTACACCCAAGGTGGTGATACTAGGCAGTGAGGCCTTCAGGAGGTGATGAATAAGTTCAGTACCTTTATCAAAGAAGCCTGTGAAAACTCACTTACCCCTTCTTCCGTGTGAGGTTACAGTGAGAAGACAGCAAAGGAAAAAGATGCTCATCACACATCCATCTGCTGGCATCATAATCTTGGATTTCCTAGCTTTCAGAATGGTGAGAAATGAATGTCTGTTTATAAGCTACCCAATCCACAGTATTTTGTTAGAGCAGCCTGAATAGCCTAAGACAAATGCTCCATCTTCCTTCTGCCATTATTTCATCAAGTCTAATTGAAAAAACAAAAGATTACTTAGTAGTGAAGAAAGCACATCCTTAGCTATAGTTGCACAGACACTGCCTTGCATTTGTATCTGTAGCAGCAAACCTGCTTCATCTCAGCTCCTCAGCTGCCTATTTGATCAGCTGCGGGTTTTGTTGTACAGTCTAACTTTTCCCTCTGTCCAGTCATGGTTCCTTCACTCTGTCACAGGTACTGTTCCTAAGAGCACTCCCTATGCCTGCATACAAATCTCAGTCTGGTCTACGGCCATACCATCCTGAACGCTCCGGATCTCATCTGATCTTGAAAGCTAAGCAGGTTGGGCCTGGTTAGTGCTTGGATGGGAGACAAATCTCAGTCTCTTTCCTGGAAGAACCTAACATAAAATATCTCACAAAATGACTTAAATTAAAGCAGTAGGATGACCCAATGGCTGAAAAGCAATGGTACCAGCTGAGGGCAGATTTTGGTGGGCTAGGTCTTTATTGGTGCTCCTGGCTACCCATAGACTCCAAGTGGTGCTAGGGAAGTAGTTCTGGGTGCTGGATGGAAATTTGTGGGAGCATTTTTGGTTGTCAAAATATATCAAGGTGGATAGAAGCCAGAGATACTAGGCGTTTTCTGGTGTGAGGACAGTTTCACAACATGAAAAACCTCTGAATTTTGCATACATTTCTAATGTTCCTCTGGACATTCATGGCTATGAAAAACCCATATAACTACTTTAGCAAGTGGAAAAAAAGAGGAAGAAAAAAGAGGTGGGAGTGTGATAAATTTTAGGGCAGTTTTTCTAGACTATGAAGAAATTCCATTAAGCTCCTGTAACAGGTGAAGTGCTCAGAGATCTATTGAGAAGTGACCTGGGGGAGGGCTAAGTAGGCCCCTGAATAGGAAGAACTTGAGACATTAGGGAAAGCAAGATCCATGTCACCAGCAGTAGTTGCAAGTTTCATGCAACAGGTACCTGTGCTGGATGTCTAGGTGGAATGAGAGACATCTCAGTAGAGGTCTGCAAAGCTCAGGAAAATAAAACATCAGCCAGACCAGGACAGCCTGCTTCCTTGTCACTTAGTTCTTTGTTTGGAGTTTTGATCTGGTCTTTCATTTGGGCCATATTTCTTTTTCTTGGTGCACCTGTTACATTGTAAGGGGCAGAGCCTTAGGTATTTGCCAGGGCAGGGCAAGCCATTCAGCTGCTTTGTTGTGCTTTATGTGGGGGAAGAGTCAAAGAGGGAACAATGCCACTTGCTTGGCTCTCGCCCCACTTTCAGTCACTTTGTTGACAGGAGAGACCTGGTTCTTCTTGCTGATGCATGTAAAGAATTGCATATCAGCAACTCCATTAACCTGCAATCAGAGTTTATTAGTGATCCGTTCCCAAGGAAGAGAACGGGCCTAACTGAGATGGAGGGAGGGTAAAAGGCAGAGATTCGGGGCAAAGCAGGGCAGCAGAAGTAAGGACAGCTGAAGTCTGAGGTTGCAAGCCCCCCTGAGACCTAAGCCCAGGCGGCCAGAGAGCCCAGAGTGCCCCACGAACGCCAAGAGAGTTAGTTCTTTGTTCTGAGAACTTACATAGTTGATGGGATGGGAGTACAAACGTTACATATTGATTAATGGGTAAGTGTGGTGCCAGCTTTCCTGAGGGGATGTGACTACCCAAACTTAGGTTTGTGTAGGGGTCTGTTAGCCCGAATCCTTAATCTTGCTCCAAACTCCGTTTGTTCATCTTGTTGTAAAACAGATACATGACAGAAGGCAGTTAGTTACAGTTGCAGCAATTACCCAAAGTTATTTATAGGCTGTTCTTTGGGCACTGTAGACCCTCTCCTGCATTTCAGGCCTTGGGATGAAAGCATAGTCTCAAGACTTTCTTTACTAGATACTGGAAACACTACATAGAATTTCAAGGACTCCCCTCCTTCCTTGCTAACATAGTGTTTCTTGTGATGTTGGGACACTTGGCAATATTATCGGACCAGGCTCAGGACTCCTGAGTTAACAGGTGAGACATGTCTTCTTCCTTCTTCCTGCCTTCGTTTACTATTCATTCTACCTAAGTGATAAGGTGTTTCCTGGTGACCAGGATGCTAGACGCTGACCAGTAACAGCAGTGTAGTCTCAGAGTTCTTCCTATGCTCTTTCCTGACTCAACTTTGCCCGCTACCTGCAAGTAAATTGGGCTCTTCCGGTGCTGATTCCTGGGTGGGTGGGTTTTTGTATGTACTAGGATCCTATGGGTCTCTCTAATGAACTCTCCCAGGAGGCTGCAAGTTTCTCCTGTCATTGCAACCCCTCTGGGATTTTTACAGCCAGAGGTTCTGAGGCTTTAGTTTTCCATGCTGGAACCCTGGGTTGCGTAATCTGTCTTGCTCCCCAATTGTTCCTTCTGGCTCATCTGTATGCGAATGTGGGACTGTCCTGTCTGCCAGTCATCACCTTGTCCGCCTGGTGCACTGTTTTGCCCCTTGTACTCTGCTTCCCAGCTGCCTGTCCTCACCACTCCTACCAGTCTGGATGAATGTTTCTTCTTTAACTCCTTGGTTTTTGGACTTCCATATAGTTTGATTTTCTGGCAGTTCTGCGTATTTTTTGTTTTTATCTTTGTTGTTGTCCTTCTTTGGTTGTGTGAGGAAGCAAAGCATATCTATCTATGCCTCCATCTTGGTCAGAACTCCAGGAAGATCTGTTTAAATCATCATTGCATTTATTCAACTTGCTGTTTAACACTGAAGGAGATATGTGATCTCTAATCTGCAGGTTTAATCTTTTCTTTTCTTTTTTTTGTTAGATTGGGAAAGAGGATTTGAGCATAAGATGAGATTGGTTATAGAAAATAAAAATAATGTCTTCCCGCCCACAAACTGCTGAGCCATGGAAAGTAACCCTTTTCCTGGGTTGTAGGAGAATTAAGACAATATAATTAAAACCTTAGCTTGAATTTGAATGAGTGATAGGAGGTGGCTTCTAGGGAACAAATCCTTTAGAGAATACTTGATGAAAGATACCTGTGACAATGAAAATCATGTAGGTACTGCAGTTTACTTCAAGAATATTAAGTGATAGTTATGTCAAAAAAGATAGTGTTGTGTTGAAGCAAGTAACAGGTTTCTTTTCTTTTTGTTGTTCCATATTTTATGATGAAAAAATAAGCAAAAATAAGCACTTGCCCAAGTTTGTGCTGTGGTTGTGAATAGGAGAAATGAGCTTTATGTGATTTTATTCTGAATTATCATATGATACAAATACATTTTTATCATTTAATAAGAAATTTATTTTTGGTTCATATAGAGTGAGTCCCTTTTGCCAAGGACAGGGTATATTTCTCAGATTTCTTTTTTTAATGAATATGTAAATAGTATTAAATTTACTACCTCTTTTGATCATGAAAAGGGCTCTATTGCCATCTTGAAAATGCTGTGTTCACAAGTGCCATTTCATGGTTAAAGAATTTATTGCGTTTTTAGCTGCCAGTACTGTTCTGCAGCTGAACTTGGTTCCAGGGTCAAAGGGAACAAAAAATAAAAACAAACAAAAAACCAGAAAACTTACTCCCCCTAATTTTGTCCATTTCTTCAAGTTTTGTCTCCCCTTCACAAAATGCCTGCCTTTTTTTACTTTAGGTGTCAGTTAGTTGTGGGCCTTGTGTGTGTGTGTGTGTGTGTGTGTGTGTGTGTATTTTTATGTGTGTGTGTTTACCCACATTTTATTGATGTTTCAAAAAAATAGGCTGAAGGGGGTTTACACAGAACTTCAGTGACAGAGTTTTGATTGTAGGATTTTATGGGAGCTTTGGGCAACCACAATGCTTCAAGCTCCTCTAGGCTGAATTGATCCAGACAAAATCCTGACTCTCTCTCTTCTAGTATGAGTAATATTTGTGTACAGAAAAACAGGCATTTCCAGTTGTTCCTTAGAACCTGGTCTTAAGTTCCCTGCCTAACTTTTCTTGCCTCCTTGCTTTTTCCAGGAAACAACTATATTGCATTTAAACTGCATCTTATCCCCCTTGGAGACAAAATGGCAGAGACAACAGATTCCTTATTTTTTAGTTTCTCAATTACCCCCATTGAAATGAGAGAAACCGAGAGTGACATCAGCACCTGGATGGCCTAAGTTGTTCCTCCTCCCTTTGTTGATTTACAAGTATTGGACACCCATAAACAAACAAGTTTCTTTGCACAGCACACCAGGACATCTGAGAGATCAATCTATTTGTACATCCGAAAGGAACTGGATTGGATGTTGGCGGAGGCTATATACGGAACCAAGCGAGTCATGGTGGCAGTGGAGGCAGTGGCAGCAGCAGCAGTGGCTTCTTTAGCAGAAGAGCTGGAAGTAAAAGAGGTAAGTGAAACTCGATGGAGATGTTCAGGCTGCAGCTAGAGGGACGTGTTGCTGTTCAGCAGCACCTAGATTTCTGGGGCAGGAATTCCATGGCTAGGGAAAGGAAAAGGAAAGGAAAGAAAGCAGACAAGAACATGATTCCTGCCGCCTGCCTTAGAATATCAGCAAGAAGACCACCCACTGAGCTCACATGAGGCGCTCTCTCACTGGCCTGTGGGCACACTGAAGCCACAGGTGGTAAGCCCATACCTCACCCCAGTTTTTCTTTTATACCAGGCTTTTCAGGTGTGCTTCCAACTTAGTAGCAATTCAGGTCCGGTAAGAGTAACTAAAACTTTGTGCCACATTTTGAAAAACAAAAGAAATTAGAAAATAGTAAATCTATTAAGCTGTTAGAATAAAAGTAAACAGCCTTCCCTAAATAGAAAGGTATTCATTTCTTCAAATGAGATGGCAGAGGCACATTTTCTCAGACAGTATGAAAAATCATGGTAATACAGTAGTTCAAAAGGAAAGTAATAATTCTCTAGCAACAGAGCTCAGAGATGGTCGATATTTTGATATAAGTGATAATGAATACAAAATAACTGTTAAGAAGAAATTCAATGAGTTACAAATAAACTCAGAAAGACAATTCAGTGAACTCAGGAATTAATGAATAGAAGTACTTTGCCAAAGAAATTGAAATTATAATAAAGAACCAAACAAATTCTGAAGCTGAGAAATTAAATAAGTGAAATGAAGGGTATATTAGAAAGCACTGGAAATAGAGAAGATAAAATGAAAGAGAGAAGAAATGATCTGGAAGTAGGACTTTAGAAATGATTCCAGTAGAAGAGGAAGGAGAACTAAGATTTTTTTAAAAGTGAGGAAACCCTACAAGAGTTATCAGACTATTAAGAATGCCAATATATGACCCCGAATAGCCGCAGCAATTTTGAGAAAGAAACACAAAGTAGGAGGGATCACAATACCGGACATCAAACTGTACTACAAAGCCACCATACTCAAAACAATCTGGTACTGGCACAAGAACAGACCCATAGACCAGTGGAACAGAATAGAAAGCCCAGAAATAAGCCCAGGTCTCTATGGACATCTAATATTTGACAAAGGGGGCAGAAGCATAAAATGGAGCAATAACAGCCTCTTCAACAAATGGTGTTGGGAGAGCTGGACGGCTACATGCAAAAAATTGAAATTGGATCATCAGCTGACACCATACACAAAAATAAACTCAAGATGGATAAAAGACTTAAATATAAGTGGCAACACCATCAAAGTCCTAGAGGAGAACATTGGCAGGAAACTCTCAGATATCCCATGCAGCAATTTTTTCACTGATATGTCTCCTATAGCAAGGGACATAAAGGAAAGAACAAACAAGTGGGACCTCATAAAAATAAGAAGCTTCTGCACGGCTAAAGAAAACATCAGCAAAATGAAAAGGGAGCCAACCATTTGGGAAAATATATTTGCTAATGATACATCAGATAGAGGTTTGATCTCCAAGATATACAAAGAACTCACTCAACTCCACTCCAAGAAGACAAACGATCCAATCAAAAAATGGGCGAAGGACCTGGGCAGATGCTTTTCTAAGGAGGAGATACAGAGGGCCCAGAGGCATTTGAAAGGATGCTCTGCATCACTAGCCATAAGAGAAATGCAGATCAAAACCACCATGAGGTATCACCTCACACCGGTCAGAATGGCCATCATAAACAGATCCACAAACAACAGGTGCTGGCGAGGCTGTGGAGAAAAGGGAACTCTAGTCCACTGTTGGTGGGAATGCAGACTGGTGCAGCCACTATGGAAAGCAGTGTGGAATTTCCTCAGAAAGCTGAAAATGGAACTGCCTTTTGATCCAGCGATTCCCCTGCTGGGACTATACCCTGAGAACACCAAAACGCCAATACAAAAGAACCTATGCACCCCAATGTTCATAGCAGCACAATTTACAATAGCCAAGTGTTGGAAGCAACCTAAATGCCCATCAGTAGATGACTGGATCAAAAAATTATGGTACATATACACAATGGAATACTACGCAGCAGAAAGAAAAAAAGAATTACTAAACCTCGCGACAGCATGGATGGAACTGGAGAGCATCATGCTAAGCGAAATAAGCCAGGGGGCGAAAGACAAATACCATATGATCTCACCTATAAGCGGAACCTAACCAACAATGCAAAGAAGCAAGGAAAATATGACCAGCAACACTGAAAGGAAAAGAAATCAACAGAGACAAGAGGGAAGGGGGGGTGCAGGGAAAGGGAAGGGAAGGGGAAAGTCAAGGAACATATAGCAAGGACTCATGGACAAAACCAAAGGGGAAGAGCTGAGGGAGGGAAGAAGGGAGGGGGCAAGGGAAAGAGGTGGGGGGAAGGCAGAGACAAATGTATTTAAAAAGTAAATAAATTAATTAAAAAATAAAAAAAATAAATAAAAAAAAGTACATAAAAATAAAAAAAAAAAGCAGACAAAATACATTTTAAGGGAAAGATGGTAGCAAGAGGCAAAGGTCACTGTATAAAGATAAAGGGATGAAATATCATTGATGTACAGACGGATTCTTAATTGTGGTGATGATGTTGTGGTTTTGTTTTTTTAAAAGAACCTTTATTTTTTAGCAATACGAATTGAATTATTTACAGATGAAGTTATATGCCTGGGGTTTGCTTCAGAATCATGTGGAAGAGAGAAGTAGGAGTACAGATGAAAGGAGACTGGCCATGAGTTGATAATTGTTGAAGCCAGGTGATGAGTACATGAGGATCATTATACTGTGCTGTCTACTTTTGTTTAGTTTTGAAACTTTCCCTAATAAAAATAGAAACAAACAAAAATCTCATTATATCTCCTGAGTCAGTAGAAAGTCTTAATAGCAAGTTTGATGTGGCAGAAGAAATCATCAGGAAACATGAAGATATTTTAATCAAGATTACTTAATCTGAAAAAAAGGAAAAACAAAAGAATAAAAAAAAAAAACCCTGTAGAGATCCTCAAAGACCTGTGGAAAAAGGAGAAACAACAACCACCTCTAGGAGATCAGAACCTAGACCAGCTCTAATTCCTAGTTTTTAGCAAAATGTGCCATCAGCCAAGAGTGTCTGAGTTCAACCAGAGACCATTTTCTTTACTGTTCTGTTTCTTTGCATATGTCACTCTTTCCTGTTTCTCCTTTACTGCTTTCTTTGCTTTTTAATTGTTTGTTTTAATGAGTTACTAGAACTAATGCTATGGAAGAGTCTGTTTTTCCAACAGTATGTAGTCTTTGGTGTCTCTACTAAGAACTTTAAAAAAAAAACCTTGTTTTATATTTAAGTCTGGGCCAACATAGCTCAGTGGTCAGTCAGAAATAGGACAGAGATTGTGCTTAAATACCTTATGCTTGTAAATTTCCCACTTTTTCACTGTTATAAGATGGAAATAAAATTTAACCAAGTTCAACAACCATCCGTTTTTGTTTACTGTCTTCAAGTTATTTATTTTAGTTATTGACTCATGTTATTCTTTCTAATCATTAACAAACTTTGTCTTCACAAAACTGATTGTTTTTTACATTTATGGTCATTGCAAGGAAAAGACAGTCTGAATAATTGCAAAGTCAAATTTCTGTCACATTAAACCCTTATTTTCTTAGCAGTCAATATTTCCCCAGGGGAAGATATTTAAGCCTTTTGGATCAAATTTTTATTTAGTAAAAGATGACAATAGGAAAGATGAAATTATGAACTTGAAGCTACTAAATGCAGCTCTAAGTAAGAAATACAAGCTGACTTTGCTTGGTGTAGTCCCTACAAAATAAGTGTGAGGGAAGATGTGTCAGGGAGACGTTGAGTTTGTTCCAAATCAAATAGTGTGCCCAGTTTAAAGTCAACAGAGGCAAAAGAATTATTATTTCTCTTCATATATGACAAGAAATATTTGTTGTTGCAGAGTCACTACAATAGAAGAAAAGCAGCAGGTAAGATCAACAACCCGAGTGAATATAGAGAGAATTTAATAGGCCTTAGAATATTTATCCTTCATGGTCATTCTGTTTAGAAGACAAACTGACTGGATAGAGGGTGGACCTGTGAAAAGGATGACATACAAAAGTATCTCAAGAACAAACCCCAGAACCTACCACTACTTCTGTGATCGTGTGGTATAAAGACCTTATCAGTATCTGCCCATCTGAGGACTACAATGGCTGCTAAAATGTGCTTGGCAGAGAAATGAGTATTACATCTGTGTCAAGAATATTATAGAATTTTGGAAAATATGTAATCCTTCAAAGTTAATCTATTTACAACTTGCAGATATGGCTTTCCTTATTCGTCTTCTCAGTTCTTCTCATTACGTGTTTCTAAATTCTGTTTCATAAGAGACAATACAAATCAAAATCAATAAATTAACAAAAATGTCAAAGCCTCAATAGTAGTGCGATTAAAGTAGAAAAACAATGGTGTTGGGAGAATTGGACAGATACGTGCAGAAAAATGAAACTAGACTACCTTCCTACCCCACACACCCGAATAAATTAAAAATGGACCAAAGACTTAAATGTTAGACCTGAAAGCATAAAAATCCAAGAAGAAAGCATAAGCAGCAAAATCTCAGACATCGTTCATAGCCAGTTTTTTATAGGATGTATGTTCCCAGGCATGGGAAAGAAAAGAAAAAATAAATAAAGACTTCATCAAACTAAAAAGTTTTTCACAGCAAAGGAAATCGTCAACAAAATAAAAAGACAATCCACAGAATGGAAGAACATATTCACCGATAAATCTGATAAGGGGCTAATATCCAAAATTTATAAAGTACTTACAAAACTCAACATCAAAAATAAAACAAAAAAACCAATTAAAAATGGGCAAAAGACCTGAATACACACTTCTCCAGAGAGGACATATAGATGGCCAATAGGCACATGAAAAGATGTTCAACATCACTAATCATCATAGAAATACAAATAAAAACCACAATGAGTTACCACTTCACACCTGTCA